TACTAAGCTATATTTGTGCTGTAGACATCCTGACCCCCTGGTTCCTCTCATCACCACTATAAAGAAATCTGAGCCTGCAAGTTTCTCTACATGAAACCATTTAACATCAAATCACTCTGAATGAACTTTATTTATATCTCAATGAATTAATTATGCAGAAATGTTCTGAAAAATTCCCTTTCAAGTAACTTCTCTGAAAACATCCTGAGTAATGTGTACTCGAGTCACTGTGGTTAGCTATGTTTATCTGACTGAAGTAATTAAAAATAATCCAAGCTAATCTACTGTCGTTATCAGAACAAAACCTTGGATCGCTTTTTACATGCTTTCAAAATACCAGCCACACTTTATTATGTGTGAAAAATTCTGATGAACAGGCCAATATAAATAGTCCAAGATGGTTTAGAACAACATCTCCTTACATTACCTCCCAGTAAAAGTTAAGAATGTTTTTTTCTCCTCATGTAAAGTTGATGTGAGGTTTTGTTTCAACAGCGACGATAATTCAGCTGTAGTACTCTGTCCAGAAGAAAATCGCTGTAACTGAAGTGTAGCATAATATGACTGTTGTACTGCAGTAAATGCATTAAATTCTTAAAATCTGAGGATCAGTTGAAGTAATGCATTCTGTCTTAAAAGAGGCTGAATGAAATAGACAGTCTCTGAATAAATTACATAATAGTCCAACATGACAGCATGCTGTTTATTAGGCAAAAACTATACTGGCAAACTGAGGATAATTGGCTCACAATAGACCAATTAGACTATTAGGTCAAACTGGATTGCAAAATGTGTTCACATTAAACTGCATGTATGTGGGACCACACTATAGCTATATTCAGCAGTTACTGAATAATACATCTTGAGATTAATAACTGAATATTACCTTACATTTAAAGGACTAAACTGTTTATTAACAGCTCAGTTCAGTTTGTCTTTAAGCCCAGCAGTATAGAGTGAGATTTTAGCAGTGGAGAATGTTGGAGAACCTATTAGTACTAGGCCTTCAGAACAAGCCATAACTGTCAGAAACTCAGAAAGTTTCTGCTAGCACCCCATGAGATTTAGAATAGTATGTTAGTACTAAGCTAATGCTGGTGGAACTCATTGGCTGTTCTAGATTAAACACAGACATTTGAAGCTTGTAGAAGATATTCAATTAGTTGTGTTTGATGTGTGTAACAGACATTAACATATATGTGACCTTGTATGTTGCAGTTTTACAGGGAAGAGTCCTGATATAGAACCGCCATTGTTTTCCATTTCTAACAACTTACTAAAACTTGGTTAGTCAATGGCCTAAAAATTCTACAGTCATAGACAAATCTAGACCTTCCAAAGACCTAGAGTGACATTTTTCACATGAAATTCATGCCACTCATTTAAAAACAAAAAACATGATTGTCACTCCCTAATTATGTTGATAGTTCATCTAACAAATGAGGCCTTCTGGCCAGCTCCTGAAGTACTACACAATGGAAGAGCTTGCTTGGATGTATCTACTTAGATACCACAAAAAAGTCTCCTTTAACTCCTTTATTTGTGACCAAATGTTAAAAATGAAGTAAGAATTTTGCTACAATACTTTCAGAATTTAAATGCAACAAGCCTGATGATTAACAAAAAATACAGAGATATATTTTTTAGTTCCAATAAATTTGACTTAGAAGGACTTGGGGGTTCCCTACAGAGTTTTTTTGTGGCCAGCAGCAGAATCATTTCTTCACTGTGTGATTGATGGTAACATACGCTAAGCGCTCTGTGTTAATGGTTAGTGTGGCGATTCCATAACAGTCTTACTCGCTGCTATTTTGGCGGTTTGATCTGCCGTCACATCGGAAGAACTGTTCTCAAACAGACAGCACTGATGCTGAGACATATTTCCACATTTTCTCATGCCATGGTCAGGCTTTGAAGTGCGTTCCAAGCCGGTGAGCCCATTCCAAGCTAGCTGGTGCTTGGAAAACACTTGGGTTTTGCTTTGAGCCTCTTCTCTTGGGAAAGTACAGCCAGGTTTTGTGGACTGACCGGTCATTTCATTAAAGTGCTGGTTACTCAGTTACTTTGTTTAAGCGTTGAGTGTGTATTTTACATGCTAATTCAAGTGCTGGAAATCAAAAGCTGCATGCTAACTGCCATTTGTGAGGCTAATACACCTTAAATAAACTTGAAGTAGACCAGTAAGACACACATTTGAGCTCCACTGGAAATACCACAATTCACAGATGTATTACAAAAGCATTGCAGAAACACTTCACATTAACCCCCCCACACTCTCTCTCTCGGTTTCAAAATAGAGCAGAAGCAGTGAGTGGTATGCTGGTTCTAATAGTTCTATTGCCTCAGTCTCTCTCTTTCTGAAGAGGAAGAATGCAGCTGTTGTCCCTTTGGGTGAAAGAGGGGATGCCATGCTTGGCAGCGTTTGACCTTTGCCCCCTCTTACCCCCCGTCTCTCTCTGTCCCTTTGATTTGGAGAAATAGAGTCTACCCCCCACAAAGAGGCTCTATTCACTCCACTGTCACTGCAGCAATGCACACAAAGATGCATGGAGCCCTCCCCCCGCCATAAACACAGCATACAGTGAAAAATAACCTCAACACTTTCTCTAAGCCCCTCAGCTCAGTGTCTTTAGTTCATGGATTTACAATGGGCTTAATTGGGAAGCACTGTAACTGTTAATGTTAGGGGGACGTTCTACTGATTTTTCAAAATTTCCACATAATTAAATGGCTAAGAATACAGAATATGTCTGTATATTTCTGTACAGTGAACCATTTCACTTGAAGAAAAAAATGGTACTCCACTTTAAATTGTGAATGCTAAATGCAGAACATTAGTAATACATGCATTAAACATGCATTTTAAATCATTCATATGTTTTTTAAGCTTCACTCTTCGATGAATACAGTGTAGTTTCAATGTAAACAGTCACTTTTCTCCTTCTATTATCTACACTATTAGAAATAAAGGTTCTGTGCAAACAATGTAAATGTACCCTCAAACGTACAACAGTGGTTTAAGGTTCAACTGGGTACCTTAAATAAGTTTTTCCCAGTGGAAAAGTACATATTTGTACATTTTTATGACCTAATGTTTTAAAACAGAACAATAAAATCAAAAGCCTGGAGATGAGATGGGGTGTGTGGAGTCAGTACAACTTAGAAAATATAATTTATCTGATTATGGTACAATTATGTTCCCTGACTAGGCACTGAGATGTACCCCTGAGGGCACCACCCCAGTGACAAGAGGGGCACTGGCCCAGTGACAGTTTAGTGTCTTTATTTCTGACAGTGTATGAATGGTGCTAGAATAACAATCCTACACTCTTAAAAGATAATGTGCAGAATGTGTTGCTTAAGGTTCCATATAGCACCAAAAATGATTTGTGATTGAAAATAATTGATGTTATAACAGTAGCAGGACCCTTTTTGGTACTATATAGAACCATATACAATGCATTCTCCATCAATCTGGAAAACAATTTCACCATACAAAGAACCGTTTAAGCATGCAGATGGTTCTTTGAGTGCATATGGTTCAATATAGAACCGCTATCTTTACTAAAGAACCCATGAAGAACCCTCTTTTCTATGAGTGTAGACATACTCCACACTGTATAGAAAAGTTTGAACATTATGTTTAAAATTACATTTGTCACATTCTAGCCATCAAATAAATGTTACTCGCTAAGAGTCATTAGCATTTTAACGTGAAGGCAGATGAGACAAAATGGGCTTGTAAAAGGTGCATCTGCTTGGGAAAGACAAACGCCATCTGTCGCCCTGCCAGACAAACAGTGTGGTGTTAAAAAGCTGCATTTTGAAAAGCTGCAGTTGCTGTTTCTGCACCTTTAGAGCAACTTAGCAAGCAGTTGCTAAACCCTTGAGGTAGCAACAAAGCACAACAGGGCTGAAGAAAAGACTGAGCTGTATGTGTTTTGGGCATGTATGTGTGAATGATCTCATAAGTGTGAACTACACTGACGTTTGTCTGAGTTTTAGACAGGCACCTGTACCAGGAGCCTCAAAAATGTTTCAGGAAGGAGCTCATCTTTACCAAGCAAGACTTTAGCAGTGGACTAGATAACTTAAAGAGGAATTTCATTCATTTTTTTAAAAAAGTTTTGGCCTAAAACACACTTTAAACACTTTCATCAAAGACACCAAGTGTTTTAGTCAAGGAAAACTTTTTTCCTTCCCTATCAGATTTTCCACTATTTTAACATTATCAACATTACATATAAAAACTCAGAAGACGTGTAGGTTCACTGGTGGTTTTGGACATATTGCCTATATTTGTATTATAGACATTGTGACCCCTGGTTCCTGTCACCACCACTGTAAAGAAATCAGAGTCATCATGTTTCTCTACAATGAACCATTTCACACCAAACTACTCTGAATGGCTTCGTTTACATTTCAAAGACTGAGCTGAAATGAAAAGTTGATGGAATTCCTCTTTGAAAAATTGGGGAATTTCACTTTAAGTCTAAACTCAAGCTTGTACAATAGGAGAAAACATCACTAAAAAAAGGGAACCATTAAAAATGCAGTAATGCATTCATGTGTGCATCATTTCCACATGAATACAAAATATTACATTAACACAGTTATTGCCAAAAGTGTTTAAACTGAAATACAACTGCAGTGATGCAATATGTTTTGTTTATGTGGAAACGAGATACACTTTTAAATTAAATGCATTACTTTATGTTGTTTTATATTGGACAGTCTTTACTTTAGGTTTAAGTTATTCAGCTTTATTGTAGTTGATCTTTTCCGAAATAGAAGCAGAATGCATTACAGTATATTGTGTCTCATATGAGCTGCTTTGTTAAACACCCTGAGGTTCTGAATAAATATCCTTTATTGACTCAGCGTACTAGTGTTTGTTCTAACACTCAAACGCTGTGAAAATAGGCGAGCACCTCAACACTCTCACTGAAAGAGTCTCTCTGTGTGACCCCTTTCTCTCTCTCTCACTCTCTCTCTCTCAGGATTGGACGATAGTCTCCAGCAATACATCCTGAACTTTGAGAAGGAGAAGATAGATGGTGAGCAGCTGCTGAAGATTTCTCACCAAGACCTGGAGGAGCTGGCTGTGAGCCGCATCGGGCATCAGGAGCTCATCCTGGAGGCTGTAGACCTGCTTTGTGCCCTGGTCGGTACTGGAACCCTGGGGTTAACCTGAAATGTGGAAAGTGAAAATATTTCTAAGCAAGCTGAAGATAGATTATGTAGCTGCTGTAGCTGGCTAATCGCCAAGCCACAAGTTAAACTACGCTATTCACAAAGTGGACACTGTACCAACCTAGTTAGCTGGCTGACCACCTTGCTCCACCTGCTTCTAATCTAATAAACAATTGTGGACATTATGAATTAGTCTTTATTTTGTCTCCAGAAAACTCTGGATAAGATGGGTGGTAGAATTATTTTCCTTTAGGTCCAAACATAGAACTCCGCTTTTCCCCTAGTCATCTTCATCCTCACAGTGTTCCACCAGAAACTGGTGATGACGTACCCTTCACTTAAGCAACCAAACTCAACCAAAGATTTACATACAATCGATCAACTAAAACAGAGGTCGGCAACATGCTGCTCTGGAGCCACTTGCAGCTCTTTTACTACCCTGTTGCAGCTTCACAGCAGAATTAGATTTTTAGGTAAAAATAAAATAATCCTCCTTTGCAGTAAAATAAAGGTTTGCTGGTTGTTCTAACACAGTTTTAACAAGAAATGATCTTAAATGCTGGAGTTAATGTAGACTATATCTGCTCATACACCCTTATAATCAATAATCTCGTCTAGCTAGTCGCTAACGAAACGGGAAAGCGAAAGATTTAAGACGAACATCAATAATTTGGAGATGGACAGGCTTATTTGCTTTTAGAATCACTCCAGCTGGTTTCCTGGCATGTTTAATCTGCAACGAGAAACTGTTACACTAAAACGTCACGAAGCTGAAGTCAGTTTATCATTCGTCAGATGTCAAATTTTCCTGTTCCAGCTCAAATGGTGCAGCACTTACATTCTGCCCCCTCAGTCACCATTTAAGGTGGAACAAGAAAATTTGAACAAGAAGCTGTTGAATGAGAAGCTGACTTCAGCCTCGTAAAAAGTCGAACGTTGAGAGACAATTAACAAGAAACTTTTGTGGAAAAGTTTCCCGCCAGAGATGCGAGAAAAGCAGCAATAGCTGAGCTAAATCTTAAAGCAGAGCAAAGTAAGTCTGCATTTTTAGCCTATACTAGTACGTTAGCATATACTGAGGCATATTTACAGCCAAGATGATAAAATAGACATAAACTGTTGTGGCTCCCAAGGTGATTTGATTTTTGTTGAAAGGACAAAATGGCTCTTCTTAACATTTAGGTTGCTGACCCCTGAACCAAGACATGTTTGGTGTCTGAACTTTCCTGATTAGCCTGCTGAAAAAAAAACAAAAAAACAAAAAAACAGTACAGCTGGTTTATGCTAATATAGTGCTGGACTGGAGCTGGTTTAGCTTCCCAGCATACCAGCATTCAAAACACAACATATACTGGTTTTGGTGGTGATCAGCTATGCTGGTCTATGCTATTTTTACTAGCAGAGTAGTTTTGCACTGGAGCTACAAAGCTAACATAGCTAACAATTAATGGAAGCTCTTAGCCCACCAGTTAGCACACAAGCGCCTCAAACTGTGTCAAGTAATCTCTAATAGACTTTCCTATGTGGTTTCTGACACTGTTATCTATTAATATTAATGTACAGCTAACAATAGTAGCAGCCATCTTAAAGCCTGAATTTTGTCCATAATTGTGTCCATTTCAATATCATACAGTGTTGCAAACTGCATAAGCAAGTCTATTTGAGAGTAGTAAACAACTCAGAACAGCTTTATGAATATTAGAGTGAGGTTTATGTCCAGTATAGGGTGGAGGCGAGCAGCAAAAAGGAAAGCAGGGATTTCCCAGAAAGTCCGGTCAGCTGCCTCTCTTTCTATCATTCTGTTTTCCTGCCTTTGCCTTGGACCTCCTCAGTCAGGGGCCTGCTAGCAGGAGTTCAGTCTCTTTTCTTACTTTAGGATTTATGGTACTTTGAACATGATTAAAGGGCCAGAGGAGTTCTCTAGCTGTAAAGAAACCACCTGCACTGAGCATAATGTTATAGTCCACACAGGAGGCTCTGTGTTTGTGTGTGTATGTGTGCGGCTAGCAAGCCTTGAGTACAAGCAGTGCTGAGCTAAAACACTCAGTCAGTGTTTGCTGCTGCTTTGTGCTGATACTGTATGCAGTATGAATAGGGCCTGATTGAGCACTTAGGGGAACCTTAGCTGGAGTTATCAGTCCCTACTATCTATTGTAGAGCTATGCTGAATGGACCCAGTACTGATGGAACACTATGTATGATACTGTGAATCTGCATGAGTGGCAGTGTTTACTAGGCATGGGTGACATCAGGATACACTGCTGTTCAGAATAGCTCTTTATGAATTTAGGTGTGCTAGGAGGAGAAGTATGAATCCAGTATAAAGCACTATTGGAGCTAGATTAGCTTTACTAGTCCTTATTATGTTATGCAAGTTAAACTGGCACAGGATAAAGTATCTATGTAATTATAGCCATGATTAAAAGGTCATAGCATAGATATTCACATCAGTGTTACACCACAGGACAAACTCAATAACAATAACAACACGGCTGTGTCTTTTAACAGGTTTTGTTATCCTGTTACAGTGAGGTGGATTGGAACAGTACTAATATTATTGAGAGAGTGCCACATTCACACAATTATTACAGTCAGACTGTAAAAACTACACACACTGCAGATTCATACTGGATCAGACTATAAAAACTACACATATTGCAGATTCATACTGGAACAGGCTGTAAAAACAACACACTGGAGATTTATACTGGATCTGACTGTGAAAACTACACACACTGCAGATTCATACTGGATCAGACTGAAAACTACACACACTGCAGATTCATACTGGATCAGACTGAAAACTACACACACTGCAGATTCATACTGGATCAGACTGAAAACTACACACACTGCAGATTCATACTGGATCTGACTGTAAAAAGCTACACACAGTACACGTTCATACTGGATCAGACTGTAGACACTAAACATACTGCAGATTCATACTGCATCAGACTGTAAAAACTACACACAGCACATTCATACTAGATCAGGCTGTAAAAACTGCACACACTACAGATTCATACTGGATTTTAACCAGTCTATATGTAAATGAGCCTTGTAATCAATCATTTTTTCTGGGCTATCAGCATCTTGACCAATCACAGTCCAGATGAGTGATTCTGTAAGTTTTATGAAGTATTCAGGAAAGGAAATTATTTAGGTAAAAATTACATAGGCCAATGGCAAAGTTGTCAGTGCCTGGGAGTACAAGAGAGCATGATTGTCCTCTCTCTCTCTAGCTGGGTAGGGTGGCCCTCCCTCTCCCCTCATCTCTCAGCATGGTGCTAGCCAATGCTGTCCTGCCGGTTAGCCGATGTTGCAGAATAGACAGTTAACATTCTCCTCCAAGCATGTTGAGCTTTTCAATGTCATTGTGTTAGCAGCAGTTAGAAAAGATGCAGCAGTGCATCACACAATACTAGGAATTTGTCCAGAACATGCAGAACTAATATACAGTAGACTTCCATTGAATTTATATTATGTGAAGCAGACATTGTATTTTTCCCCATAAACTTTCTTACATTTCCCCGAGGCCACTTTAAGAGTCTGTAATGTCTGTGCGGTTAAAGGCACATGGTAGAGGCTCAGAGGAAATGAACAGGGTGCAGTAATATGGAGCTGGAATAGACATTACATGCTCAGTGTAGAGCTGGTGAGGGGAATGAGGCTGCGGCAGGAATGTTCTGGAAGATATCTCCTGGAGAGCAGGAAACAGATGTGACCCACCCACCTGTCAGAAAACCCCCCGCCCTGCTCACACATTTATGCACAGTGTGCAAAAGCAGGAAAACGTGTCATGCCATTGTTCCCACAGTTTCCGTCCGTTGGAGTCGGGTGAATTGTTCTGCCGGTTACTCGGTGCTGTTCATGTGAGAGTTAGTGGCCAGCCTCTGTTCCGCTACAGTTGCTGACTATAGCTTCATTCCTAATTTAAAATATACTTTTTTGTCTAGCCACTCCTACTTGCTTGCAACATCTATTCCCATGTAGCAAATTTCTAGCTGACTGTGGACTGAAATAATTCTGTCTGATTCAAATCATAGACTGAAAAAAATTCTATCTGATCTCATCCATTGACTAACAGAACTTTGCCTTATCCTGACGGTAGACTGATAAAGTTCTGCTGGACCTTGACGATAGATTGACAAAATTCTGCCTGATTTCATCCATAGACTGACAAAATTCTGCCTTATCCTGATCGCATACTGACAAAACTTTGCCTGATCCTGACTGTAGATTGACAAAACTTTGCCTGATCCTGACTGTAGATTGACAAAACTTTGCCTGATCCTGACCGTAGACAGAAAAAGTTCCACCTGATCCCAGCCATAGACTTACAAAGCTCTGCCTTATCCTGACTGTAGATTGAAAAAGCTCTGCCTGATCCTGATCATAGACTGACCAAATTCTGTCTAATCCTGACTGTGGACTGAAAAACTTCTGCCTGTTCCCAACCGTAGAATGACAAAGTCCTGCCTTATCCTCACCATAGACTAACAAAGCTCGCTCTGCCTGTTCCCATCTATAGACAAACAAAGTTTAAAAAAATGTCCAAAAAAGTAAATTAAATTGCAAAAAATCTAAATAAAAGGACCTTAAACAGGATAATGATGAAAAGACATAAATCATATGTCTCTAGGCTCTTCCAAGGCCAAAGTCTTGCCCCTGGCGGGTCAGTTCTGGCTTCTCTCATGCTGTCTATCAGGAGGTATTTGATCAGTCTGGAGGAGGTGGCATTCTTCTGAAGTCAGATGATAACTGTGCGTCTGCCTGGTCTGATGGTTGGACCGCTGGAATGCGGTGAGGTTTTTAGCCGCAGGGTCGTGAGAATGACCCGCGGCTCAGTCTGCTGTCACACGCTGTTACTGCCCAGAGAGTGTGTTTGCTTTAGTCTGCTAATGTTCATTGGAGTGGAAGATATGCTAAAGTGAAAGAAAGGATTTAGACATTGATAAGTCAGGAATGCGTGAAGGTGCTGATAGTGGTAAGATTAGGCCAATACTAGCCATTAATGTGTTTGATTTTACTGTAATAATTGATACAGTTATTTTTACAGAATTATGGGGTGGAGACTGATAACCTGAAGACCTTGGTTGGCCGGATGAGGGCAGCGTCTTATAATCTGCACAACTGCGCTTCAGAAAGAAGGAAAAATCCCTCATATGATAGCAGCAGTTCCAGCAAACCACCCAATGAGTTCCTTACGGCGGTGGTGGAGCTTATAGGAGCAGCGAAGAGCATGCTGGCCTGGCTGGACAGGTACATAAAACGTACATTCAGGTTTTGACTAAGGCCTCTTTGAACACTCTTTCAATGCGCTCACATCATCAGATTGATCTGCTTGACGAAGGGGTCTTAAGCACAAACCACATCACAAAATGTTCTACTGGACGTTGAATTACACATTTCCACCAGAGAGGTCTCCAAATCCCCAAAACGTACTCAGTGTAGTTTCAATAGACGAACAACATACAACATTTTACAAATATTTTCGGTAGCAGTGAGATATAGAAATACTGGTTAAAAATATGCTATTTCCTTTGATGTCCAGCCCTGGTCATCACTGATAGGCTTTAACAGTGCCAGTAATTTGCTGTACTCAAAAAAACTTGTAACACAGTCCTCAAAACCTTGGAGAAATGTCCTATTCAAAGTACTGGCTTACAATTTTAAATGTTTTAAGTGTTTTTTTTTATTATTTACTTGTAATTATTAAATTCAATTTGACTAAAAATGCATAAATAAAAAGTAATAATACAAAATAAGTTTTAAAAATGTAGTTTTTGGTCCAGTGTCTCCCGAATTGCGGTTTTGGCCAAGAGTTATCATTTTGGTGCATTGCTGTTAGAAACTGTAGGCCTTCTGTTGAAATGAAGTTCATGTTAACTATCCTCTAGCTCTTAATTTGTGGTCAGTTTCTGACCACAGAGCCACTGTTCACAAAAACATTCTATCTTGGCAAGTGAAATTATCTTAAATCTAGTCTATACATCTAATAGTTCTCTTTTTTGATTCACCTTTGTTTCAGGAAGCAAAATTATTGTCAACATAGAGATAGGTTTTTAGATTTTAAAAATTATTTTTTTTAAATCACCCAAAAATGTCTAGAAATAAGTTAAATAATCCTAATAAGCCTGCCACAATCTCAAAATAAGAAATGTTAGATAAATCAACTGGACTTATGGCTACAAGGCAAAGATACCATTTTTGCAGTGTTGTTTGGATATTATTTGGGTGGTGGACCATTCTCAACCTATCAACCTGTCTGGTCAACACCAATCCTGAGGTCAGAAAATGACCATTAATGAATGGGGAAGCTGTGCATTGTGGACAGTACAAAAGATTAAATTCATTATATACTAAAGTTATTATACACCTGTATAGCAGACTTATAAGGCTGGGGTTTCAAATAAAGTGGCCAGTGAGTGGAAGAACATGGTAGGAGTTTCTAATAAAGTGAACAGAGATGTTTTATCCTAAGAAAAGCACATAACATTTGAAAAAGGCATTAGACATGATTTTAGTCTCTTTTCAAGTGCTTTTCTCTGGAAGTACCTAGTTTCCTGAGATCTAAGCCTTTTTCAGCTGTTTCAGTTGTGTCAGCCTTCAGTTTGTGCTTCCTATGCAGTCAAAACACTCTCTCTCCATTTCAAAACAGTCTTTAAAAGTGAAGTAATGCAGATGTTCGGCTGACATACAGATTGTTCCATCATATATGCTACACTACTTGCTTGGGCTTGAGACGACACATTCCAAAAGCAGAAGCTCAGACTGGAATTCCTGTCTGCGGTGTAGAGAGGGTACTGACTTAACCACACTCTCTCTCTCTCTCTCTCCTCCTTCTGTTAGGACTCCTCTGACGGGCATCAGTGACTTCACCACCACCAAGAACAGGATCATCCAGCTGTGTCTGGAGCTCACCACTACCGTACAGAAGGTCTGGAGCCCACACTGTTTTCATATCCTCCAGAGACACCTTCACTCCAAACAATTAAATTAACGTGAAAAATAACACGACTCCAACATAACCTGCTTCCTGAATATCACTCATTATGATTCTGTATACTGATGTGTGCTTATTGGGGTCTGGATTTCCTGCTTAGCCAACTAATTTTAAACTTAGTTTGATCTAACCCTGAATTTTCATTCTCACAATGGTAGAGTACCAGGCTACATCACCATGGCAACTTATACTGCATACCTAACCTGGTTAACACTTGTGTGGTGTTGATGTTTTTGTTACTCTGTGGTCTGGTGGACCCACTGCATTATTGTTTTTTTTTAAATCAATACAGCCATAACAAGTTATGTAAAAATACCAGATGTTTAAAATATCACAAGTGGCCAGCGTAGGGTTCTCCTTTAGCAGCTGTAGCCAGTCAGCAGCCTGTCCATGTTGTCCACCCTCACACACACACACACACACACACATATACAAACACTTACACACATAAACACACACACTAACAGCAGGCCATGTAGGAGGGGAACAGAGTGAAGGGACACAACTCCTCCACACTTTTATTCCCCGCGGGTTCACCCCAACACCACATGTGTAATATAAATGTGTAGGGGGTGAACAGTGTGAAGTCACAGAAAATGTGTTATTTTATATGTTCTTCACAGAAAATGAGCAAAGGCCAAGGAATCTGGGGTTGAAATAATAATAAATCAGCATCATTTTTTCTTTTGGTAAACATTGAAAATGGGTCCCACAGACCTGAACACCACACAAGGGTTAAGTTCAGATTTCAGATAATAACAGCTCTTGGACCAATCAGCACAAGCTTCTGACCAATCAGGGACTGGTGGAGATGGACCGCTCTGGTCACTTTTTCTCTTCACAGCATTTGCAGCATGATTTACATGTAGGATATTGCTTTGTAGCAGAGGAAGCAAATCATACTACATGGATATTGTTGCTTTTGAAATAAAACTTGAAATCACAAAAATGGTAACTTCTCAGGAGAAGAAAAAAGCATTCTTAACTTATGAAGGAAATTAATGTAAAACTCATTTTGGACCATTTCTTTGTAGACGTTTACCACAAGGCAAAGGGTAACTAGACATATAAAAAAAACTAGACGTATAAAATAATACAAACAAAAAAAGAAAAAACACAGAAATTAAGATAATGGAGATGGAGATGGTTTTGTGCTACAGCGATGATATGAATAATATAATGCAATTATTACTCAAATATGCAGTGGCAAACTGTGACTATTAGAGCTAGATCTTCAATTTGGGCCATAAATGTGAAAACTCGATCAAAACATGACAATGATAAAGTTAACTAAGGATTCTAGTAGTTTGTTAGCACTAAGCTAATGGTGATTCACATGAACCCTTTCTGACAAGGGTCAAGCTAGCTTCTTATTTGAAATTTATATCCTACATTAAACAGTGCAACAGTTACATCCTGGCGCATTTATGCCCCAGAATCTAAGTGCTGCAGTGTCAATACATGCTCTAAATGTTGCAGTTCCAACATTGTGTCTTAGCTAACATGTAACGTTATAAGAACATTATTTGAAATGATAAACATCCTTACAACATTATTGGAACTTGTAGACAACATTAGCCAAAGTTATGGGAACATCTTGTAGAGACCAAAAGTCATCTTTTTGCATTAGCCACCCTTTAGCCCAGTGGTTCCCAGTGCTGGTCCCAAAGTATCCCCTGCCCTGCTCATTTATATATTTCCACCATGCCTGATACAACTGATCAGCTAATTTACAAGCTCTTACTAAACTGAAATAAATGTAAGAATGCAGGAAAAACGCAAAAAATGTTCAAAAAAGGAGATACTCCAGGACCGGGGTTGGGAACCTGTGCTCTAGCCCTTCATCAGTGGTCAGTTTCTGACCACAGAGCTGCTCTTGGATGGACATTTTTGGTTACTGGACTACTCTCAACCTAGCAGTGAGACTCAGCCCTCAGCAACACCATTGTGTCTGATACACTCATATCAGCACAACACACACTACCATGTCACTGTCACTGCTGTGCTGAGAATGATCCACCACCCAAATAATATCTGGATGACAGTGGTCCTGTGGTCAGATGGCCTACAGTCATTGTAGTTATTCATATAGAGAACTTTTAAGGTAGGCGTTTCTCTTAAAGAGCCCACTGAGTGGCGATATGGGTAATTTCCTTCTGGATGCCCTCTAGTGGCTATTCAACCTTGATATTTTTATTTAATATAATGCAAAATATAGTATAATACAATATAATATAATACAATAATATAATAGCTCCAAATAATATCTGGTTAGCAATGGTTCTGTGGTGTGGCTGATAAATTTTGTGGCAACAGATGGGCTACATTGTCATTGTAGGCATACAAAGTGGTAGATGTTTCTAATAATGGCCAATGAGTGTAAGTACGTGTACTTTATAAAGTGGCAACCTCAGTGTAAATTAGCCATTAGCCATTAAACTGTTCTAACTTTGCTGTGTTTGTTTAAAAAAATTGGGTCCTTGGCAGCACTGTTAACAGTGGTTGTGAAAGAAACGTGAGAAGAACCTGTAATGGAGCACATATGGTTTCACTGAGTGAAGGCTTACCCCTGGTATTCTGGCCTTCTGAGGTGGATGCCTCATAAATGTGCTTCATACTTCATGCTCATCCTCCATCAGTTTCCCCTCTCCAAGGCCCTGAGAACAGAGCTACAGTCTTGTCACGTTGGTTTCTATGTAGATAATTATATATAAAGGAAGCACTTGGTGAAACCTTCACACTACCCCCCAAACCACCCCCCCCACACACACACACTCCATATGTAGTCAATCAGCCAAGATATGTTTGGTGTCTGAGGTTCTTTAGTTTTCCACTGGAGCTGGACAAAAGTACAGACAACACAGGCTCTAAGGTGGCTGTATAAGCAACATACTTTTGTCCATTTTGTCCATCAAAGTTCCAGGGCATCAGGATCATCAACTCACACTAAGGCTGTGATCGAAATGGATCCCTACCCCCTTATTAGTATTGTGCTATTTGGAGGTGGTCTTTGTTTTTAACTGTACAGAGCTGCTTGTTTTTGCATTACGCCACTGTTCATATGTTCATATCACATATAGGCTGCTTAAATTCAGCACCACCAACTCTTTTCTGTCTCTGAGCACATGCAATAGCATCCATGTTAGCATCAATACTAGGACGAGCTTTCCTCAGGCGTTTAGTAAATCACGACAGCCACTTTGATGGCACAAAACTGCCCCTAAGAGAAAAATGCCCAATGTATGTAATAGTGTCTTAAAATGCACTGACCCATTTCGGTCACACTGAAAGTGGTATGATGTTATCCTATGGTTTAGCATTATATCACAAAAAAACAGTACCAACAGCAACTTGGCGTCTGAGTTGTGTCTGTAATTTTGTCCATTCTTATAGATAACTGCATGTCATACAGTGTCAGAAATAGCTACTTTATAATGGTGACTTTATTTCAAAGTTATGCTGTGTCAAATTTCTATTCCACATCTGAATGGCCAAATAAACACATTCCAACCATTTATATTTTAGAAGGCTCCCTGATTGGTGGTGTGAGAGTTCACCAATAGGCAAAAATCTGAATAAAACAACTAAGTACGATAGCAGCTCAGTGACAGCTCATAGCTACACTCTCCACAGAACGCATTTGATTTTGGCTTTCAATCTAAAGGCAGTAATACACCAAACGCAACATATATAAACAACACAAAAATGTGAAATATCCTGACACTTTTTTTTTCATCAAAACTATAAAATGCCAGTCAAGCAATTGTTTGGAAAAAAACAGCAGAACAATCATCAAAATGATGCAGTTTAGCATCATAGCATTCGTCATAGCATTCTCACGAAACAGGCAAACTGTGACATTGTGCTGAATGATTTCTACTTTGGAAAAGCAAAAGGAGAACAGAGTTTGTTTGTTGCCCAGTTTGAGCCCTGTTTGATCTGCTTTTGGAGATGCTAATCCTTGTGACATTTGTGAAAAGCTTCCAGTTGCTGGGATACAGCTGATCCATCATCTTTGTTGTCACCATGCCAACCAAGTTAGCCAGTTAGCTTCAGTTAGTCAGAATCTAACATGTTCTGTGATAAGCAGAACTGTTATCATGCTAGCTAAACTAATGCTAACAACTCCCATCTCATAATGAGCTGCACTGTTTAACACTTAGCAGTGATTAGATTGTTTGACTTTTTTGAGCGATGCCTTCAAAATCATTCACTTTTTTGTTAACCATGTAAGCGAGGTACTGTTTTTGAGTTAATTTGATCTTGAAATAACACAGGCTGAGATGGCAAAAAAGTGTCATGAATGCTTTTACATCACCTACTACCCCAGTAATGCTGTATACCAGAGTAATATTCGGAGACAGTTTGAAGGTATTAAAAACTGTACACTGCACACCTCTAGTCTGAAACCACACGAGCACGTCTATTTGAGATTATTTAACAATTCGACGTGGTTTGAGGCAAGTGTGTGATCATTTTTGTATGCAGTTTGTTTGATGCTAACAGGTGGCTATAGCTTACAATACTGGCTATCTACATTAGCATCGTACTAATGTAGCATGCCAAACTTGTCTTGGCTGACCAACTACATATAGGGCAAGTAATGTAATTATTATTGTGCCTTCCCTAATAGATACAAGCTTAAGCAACTGCATATAATTTTGCTAAGTGCCTTGGGAAGCCTCCAATGTTCCCACATTCCTCAAACATTCGCTCTTGGTATTTTGTTTATGTGGGGTTTTTTGGTTTTGTGTTTATGTGTTTACCATTCGTCGTTGGTGTGTGGGAAGAATGCAGTGCTCTGGCATCTCAAAGAGGATTCTCTCTTTAATTACAGGACTGCACTGTGTATGAAATGGAGGAGAAGATATTGGAAGTGGTAAGTAGGACGTCCCTCCTCTGTCATGGAAAGTCTCCCAGGCTGCTTTCACGACAGCAGCGACGCACATTTGAACACAAATCCACTCTGTTATCCACAGCAAAGTTCTACTGGTATTGAAAAGGTGAAGCTGGACAGGAATGCATGTCCCTATTGTTTGATCAGTGTTGTAGGATGTAGGATGTTTTTCTCAGGGCTGTGTCTGAATATCCTGTGTTAGATAACTCGGCCCTCGTGTACTCAGTGGACACGAGCCTCCGCTCACGTTTATTTTAGGAACATGCTCTCCATATCTCACCTTTAACCCTTTAGGTCGACACAAACATTTAAGCTGCTCTTCTCTATTAATCACATTGTTGTTGCATTTATTTGATATGTACAGAATGTGATCTAGCAAAGCTGAACGTTTGAAGATTTTAATTTAGAATGTCTCACAAACTAACTTGTTGTGCAAGAAAACATATGAATAGGAAAATGTCAAACATCAGATGATTTTTATCATTACTCTGATTAACAAAACAATAAATGTTTACTGATTTGAATTGTGCACTCATTCAGAATACAACAGTGCATAAGGAACCCTTGTGCATCTTTTATACAGTGATAGGAAACATAGTAGCACACACAAAGCTCTGATGCATGTCACTTTGGCGAACAGGAACATGCACACTAGATAGGCCCGGATCATTAATTTAAAGGCCTTTAGGCACAAATGTTTGGGCCCTTTTGTTGGTAAGGAAAGTTTTAATAATATCACAGCAGGTTACATGTGGGGCTATGTAGCACCACAATGGTGGCATACTAACTGTGGTGTTGGGCATGTCACCAATATAAACACACACTTATTCATTTATTCATATTCATATATGATACTTTTGCTGGTGACCACATTACCACATTAGCCAGCCCCTGTTAGTCAGCTAAGTTAGATAGCATTAGCTCTCCAAATGTCCTTGCTAAGGTCAATTATAATTAATATAGTACTCTTTATTTGTGCCAGATGTCCTTCTATATGACTTGTAATGGAGATTATTGTGCAGAATCAACCTTTGTTTCAAATCCTTTCGATGCTAAACAGAGTTGACCCAAAAGTTGCTGGAATTGAACAACCCAAGTACATACACTGTAACTCTTCTGGCAGCAGATTTTAGATTTAAAGGGCCACTGTTTACAGCCCCCCCACCCGTTCAGCCCAAAAGGTAATCGACCAGCAAAAACAGCTTTTGTGTCTTAAGTTTAGCTTTGCACTTGAGCTACAAGGCTAAAATGGCTAACAAGTAATGGAAGCTTATACTACAATTAGCATTGTGCAAACTGCATGCCATGCTGTAGTGTCTGACATACTGTTTTCTATGAAAATGGACAAAAGTATGGACAAAACTTGGACTTGATGATGGCTGCTGCTACTGTTTTTAGCTATATAGCATTCATTTGAGGTATCAATCTATCAATCAACTTTAAACTGGTGACCCTCAATATGGTGGAGCCAATACAGAAATCATGAATTGAAAAGATTAGATTGAATAAATGTATCAAATGCTAAGAAAGAAAGATAATAATAATAATAATAATCATAATAGTAAATTTAAAAGTAAAAAATCAATGAAATCAGAATAAACAATTAAAATAGCAAAATAATAAGTTCCCATTTAAATGAATAAGTTCCCATTAAAATAATAAGTTTCTCTATTTATTAGCTACACTAGCCTTGTAAATACTGCAATGATATCAGAATCATATTGGTATTGGTATCATTTGGGCAAATCTAAACATCAGACAGTTTATTAGATTATGTATTATATTAGATTATGTATTTATTCTACTCCAGAATAGCTGAACGTTTAGGTGATGCTGGGTTATTGTGGTAAAATATCTGTATTTATTTTACTTCATGTGTAACCCTTCTGGGATACATTTTATATTTCTCTGTAATGCTAATCCAGGAAGATTTGCTCTCAATTTCTACATTTCATAAATGATTATGTATCAGTGTCAGAGAAGACTTGTAGGTTCACTGGTGGCTTGGGTAGTAAATAGAATGCAAATATTTATACTGTAAACATAGAAACCCCTGGTTCCTTTCAGCACTACTGTAAAGAAATCAGAGCCTGTAAGTTTGTCCAGAATGGCACATTCCACATCAAATGACTGGGAATGACTGTTTACGTCTCAAAGATTGGATTAGGCAAAAATTTTCAGCTTAAACTGTTGCTTTAATCCCACTTTAGGGGTTGCATTCCATGACAGTTTGATTTTGCGGCTTCCTCTGTACGTCGGATCACTGCAGAGTGTGTTTAGATGTTTCTAGCAACGCACCAGGATTGCACTGTATTGTTTGAATGATCCCGGGCCTCGCTATGGAGCCAATGTAGTGACATCATCCTGGAGAAATGTGCTCCCCTCTAGACATCGCTGTGGCTGATGTGTCAACATGAAGTGCATTTTAATGTTTGACTCATTCCAGATATCAGATAAGAGCTGAATTAGTCTTTGATTATCTGAAACTATGCACAAAGGGAGAGTGATCATGTAGCTAATAAGATTTTTTGTTTTAAATTGCATAAAAAGTTCTTGATAAATTCATAACCAAGGAAGAATAGTTGCTTTTTAATGCCCTTTTTTCAGTAGATGCTTCTTTGACCTAATTTGCTTTCAACAGAATCTGTACACACTGGCATTCAAAAGTTTAGACTCAATGTTTTCAATCAAATAAAAACTATTTGGTTGCAGATAAATGTATAAAATGATTCTAATATGTTCGTCCTGCGCAACTTTACAGGTTTTAAATAATTAGGAAACCAGGAAACTGTAAATTATAATACGTTATGTGTCTGCTGTTATTCTTTTAAAACTTCTTGTTACAGATGGATAGACAGCATTTTAGAAATAGAGCTCTTCAATTTATAGTATATTATTTATATTTTATTCACTTCTTGTTCACAGAATTTAGTCACTATTGAAATATTGACTAAAACATCTGGTGTACATATTCAAAATGTATAAAAATACATTTTGAATATGTAAAAGCTTTTATGCAGCTTTAAAACTTAAAAAAGTAAGTTAACCTGAAATGTTGACTTTATTGAACTACTGATATTAAGTTAACAGAGGAATAATTATGTCTTACAGTTGTTCAATAATTCAAACAACACTTTTGTACATTTTGAAGCTTCAAAACCTTTTTTACTCATAACATCACTTTTAATCTGTGATGCCTTTAATGAATTGGTCCCATTAGCTATTAGACAGTTACTTATATTTTAGATACAATAATAACTGACCCAATATGGATTGAAATAGTGCACATTCTGTGAGCTACATATTATACTACTGACTTTTTTAGGTCTGGAAAGGAACTGCCTTTTTGATAAACTTATAAACATGTTTACAACCAAACCTCACTGTGTCAATATATGCCACAATGTTTTTTTCTCCATTCCCATCAGGCTCAGGTTTTGACTGAGATCTGTGATGCGACCATGAGGATGACCTCTGACCCCTTGAAGACTCGCACAGCGTGTCTGGAGGAGGTCCACATCACTAACATCAGGCCAGGAGAGGGATTAGTGAGTAGCATTCTCCATAACACTCATGTTTAATGTCAACAGGCCCAGCGGTAACTTCACACAGTCCTCACAGCATAGCTGCTGCTCAGCTCTTTGAGTGAGAGAGATGAGTTCACAATGAGATCATGTGTTATCTAGCCCCGGTTTATAAATGTGGACCATTTTCTTTCTTCATTAAAAGGAGAATGTTTTTTTTTTTTAATTCATGCATAATTAAATGGTTAAGATGTGAACTAAGTGGTTTGGTCTGAAATGCTCCATACTAGAGAAACTTACTGAGTCATAACTGCTCACAGTGGTGGTGATAGGAACCAGACGTCTGAAGTACTCTAAAAGCTCCCTCACAGAAAATTATTACATTAAATGATTATGAATACAGTGCCTGATGCGTGAGACATTGTTTTATGATAGATTTGAGATGTTTTGGGCTAGAACTTATTTTATTAAAATATGAATGAGATATGTGCAGGACATATAAGGCAAAATAGTTATAGTATTTTTGTCAGATTTACCACTATTTTACCATCATTAATGTTACACATAAAACTCACAAGACACATATAGGTTCACTGGTGGTTATATTTGGCTATATGGCTATATTTGTGTTGTAAACGTTGTGACTCCTGGTTCCTATCACCACCACTGTAAAGAAATCTGAGCTTGAAAGTTTCTTTAATATTCACCATTTCATATCAAACCACTCTGAATGACTTTGTTTACATCTCAACCACTGAATTATGCAGAAATTAAAAAAAATAATAAATCAGTGAAATTCCCCTTTAAGGTGCTTAAAGGGTCAGTATCATATTTATGTTATGAACATTACATGTTTGTTGCAGTGCAGTACCACAAAAGGATGATGTTTTTTTTCCCTGTGTTTTTCTGTAGGGCATGTACATTAAGTCGACATACGATGGTCTACATGTTATAACTGGAACCACAGAACATGTGAGTGAAACCGTTCCATCTCAAATCTTCACTTATTCAAATCAATCTGCTTTTCCGTGGCTTGTTCACACATGCCCCCTAGTGGTTCAGATGCCAGCGTCTATGCTCTTTCAATTTTTACCACCAAAAACTTATCTTTAATCAAACCAGTATTAAATTACAGCTGATGAATAAATCCAAAGATATGCCTTAATTTTGTGCTACTTTCAAAAATGTGAAAGTAGCAGAAAAAAAGCATACCTGTTGATTAAACGATGCAATTTCAATGCATTTACTTGATTATATAAAGAGTAGATTTGGATAAAATTTACATGTTCTTGTTATGTTAATCGTGATCATGTTCATGTTCAGTTCAACCTACATTAAAGAGGGGGTGACTCTTTTTGGGTTGACTATGAATTTCATTGAATTTGAATCCCAGCACTGCTGTGGACAAAATAAAGTTAGCAATTAAAAACTTCTGTCAATACCGCAGGTCAGTATCGGCCAACCGATATGTAGGATGGGGTGTGAGATACATACATTGTATACAGTAGGAATCCAATATCAACTATGAGTAGGAGTGGACAACATGGAAAAATCAGTATATCACAATACTTTTTAAGATACACAATACATATCACAATAGTTTGAACCAGACAAAATGTGTTCTAAGTGTCACAATTTAAAAATGCTATCAAAAACTATAAATACAATGATTATTATTTAACATTTCACATACTGCACTGCACTAAACCCAATTAAACAGGAGTAATTGTGCTCTCTTTATAAGAAAACATGCAGTTGGTCAGTGCTTTTTAATATCCACATTATGTTCAGACACGCATATTGTGTATCATGATAACAAGAATGATCATTAATAAAATACCATCACGTTGCTCACCTTTGACCATATGATATGAACTAAAGTTAAAACCTTCCCAGTATTTTATTATGTTGGAGATGTCCTTTGCTCTGTTTTGTCTGGAGCCTCTGCAGAAACAGGTTAAATACTCTCAGCCCAGCAGCACTAGAGTCTTAAAACCAAACCTGTTTTATGGCAAGAACTTTTAAAGCAGCGTTGAGCAGCTGATCTTCATGCCTCTGGTCTCTCTCTCTGTCCTTCTTTCTCTGTGTCACTTTCTCTCTCTCTCCCTCTCTCTTTCTCTCTCTCTCTCTCACTCTCTCCCTCTCTCTCTCTACTGTGCAGTCTCCAGCAGACAGGACTCAGCGAATCCATGCAGGAGACGAGGTCGTTCAGGTCAACAGACAGACAGTGGTGAGTGACAGTGTCCAGTCAAAGGAGGAAGGAAAGTATAAGAGGTAGAAAGTGTGTGTGAAAAGGAGGAGAAGAGTAGGGATGCACCAAAATTTCAACCTCTAAATTTTTTTTGCTGAAAATGGTCAAAAGTGGCACTTTTGGTTTTCAGCTTTAGGAGAATGAAGATCAAACATTTTTGGCCAAAAGATCAAACAGAACTATAATGAATCGTTAACACTTCACAGATAATCTGAGTGGCAATGAAAATGAGAATTTTATTAACAAAAAATGATGTCTGTTTTCTGCTCCATCCTACGCTGGTCAGCACAGACACATTCAAACACTTTCAGAGCAGATCGACAGTGAAACACAAACAAGGTCCACTACAGATGTGTCCTTAGCTTACATGCTTTTTAGAATTTACTGGTTTAAAAAAATTATTGAATGTAAATTACATAAGTAATACTGAGTCACTCAAAATCTTATGGCTGTTTTTTTCTCTAAATGACAAACACATGTAGTTCTATGACAGTTCTTTCGATTTTCAGCGTCTTCTAAATTTCAGTTTCAGTTTCAGTCAAAAATTCTCATTTCAGTGCATCACTAGAAGAGATAATAGTTTGTTATGAAGAACAAGTGAGAGAATTGTATACTGTTAAATAGGCAGGGGAAAGAATAACATGAGCTCTTTTGAGATTCCTAAGAATGCCTTAAAGATAAGTGCTCATTTTTTAATCTCTATTATTTTATCACATTATATGTAAAGGAGAAAGACTTGATGACTCTCAGTTCTTAAAATGGGAGGTACAGTAAAAAATCTACTTCACACATTCCCCTATATGTAAACGATCAGCCGAGACAATTAGTGTTCAAAGTTTGCTTCTTTAGTTTTGCCTTTGAGCTGCAAGGCTAACATACTGTAGCTAACTTGTAATGAAAGGATATGTTCACCAGTTAGTCTTGTGCAAATTGTTTCTGGTTCTGACAGGCTACTGTTATCTGTAAAAATGAATGACAGTACATCACATAGGCTAAAAAATTTGCAGCAGTTGTCTTGATGCCTAAATATTGTCCAGAATCTGTGGGATAAACTTCCATTACTTGTTAGCTACTAGGCCTGTCACAACTATTACATAATTGCCTGATCGCAATTATTTGAAATAATGGCGGTTATTTAATCTGACCACAATTATTTTCCACCGTCACTAGATTTCAGAACAACAATGTGCAAAAATGTGAGCCAGACACATTTTTATTCGTTCTAACTGTGTGCTAGATCAAGTTTAGCAGGATTGTTAATTTGATAGCTAGTAATGCTAATTTTAGCATGTATGCTTGCAGTTCAAGTGTTTTTTCGCTCATGTTTGCACAGTCTTAACAGAAATCTATAAGCTTTGGTTGACTATGTAACTGTAGATACTTGTTACACAGAGTACAGTGCAGCTGCTCTTCTTAGCTGCAAAGTAAAGAACTAGCTAAGCAAGATAGCTAATAAGCTAATTAAGCTGCTTTTAGACTTAAACTTCATTAGTTCCTTAAAAATGACCAAAACAAACAATTCAATTGTCAATCACAATTATTAACATAACAATTAATCGTCAGCTAAAATTTAATTGTCAAGATGGGCCTATTAGCTACATTAGCCTCCTAGCTCCACTGCAAACCTAAAGAAGCAAACTTCAGAGTCCAAATAAGACTCAGCTGGTTGATTACAATTAGGATAAGGAGAAAATCTGAATTATCCTTCTAAAGTTTTTAGTTTCTTAGCTCTCCGTTCAGCAGCACTGGGGCAAAAGGCGCATCGAGGTCCATGAATAGCTTCATGCCTTCATGCCTGATATGTTTATCAGGTGGCAGTTAGTAGTTACACATTCACTGAGACTAAAAGGAGGCATACTGCTGTGTTAGGTGGGCTGGCAGCTGAAGAACCTCGTGGCCAAGCTGAGGGAGGATCCTCGGGGTGTTGTTCTGGTTTTGAAGAAGAGGCCCTCAGGAACCTGCAGCTTCACCCCCGCTCCACTGAAAAACCTGCGCTGGAAGCCCCTTGCTGGGCAGGTAAAGACTGTTTAAGATTTTATAAACTGTTAATGCTGTGTAATGCAGTATTTATAATATATTTATATTTATTCATATAATACTTTATTTTAACCAAAACTAAAATAACATCTGCCGCCAAACAGGTTTTCATTTACTTTGGTTTACGTCAGATTACGTCAGAACTGAATCGTAAATAAGCTCTTTGATTCTTTTAAATAATTTAATCTAATGTTTGCTAAAGCACCAAACAAACTTATCAAATAAAATGAGCTATCATTAACATTATCTAGAGGTTCATGCAGTAAAGATAGTTAGTTTTGTTTTCATATATTGGTTTTCGTATATTGATTTCTTTCTTCAGTTGTAACCAAAACAATCTGATAAAACATTATCTTTGACAGAAATTTATGCAGTTTTTCATAGAACACATTCATTTCTGTTGACTATCGTAACTGCTATGCACTGTGAAGTGACTGTTGACAAGTACATCTGCAAGTGGCAATCATCGGGGTCCAAGCACCGGTGCCACCTTGATTTTCAAGCCTTTTAGCACATAGAACTCAAGGAATGGGGCAGGGTTTTTAAAATGATATCCATTGATAAAGTGATTGTTTATAAAAAGAGATAAAAGAAATGTATGAGATTAATTGTATTAATTTTATTTTCCTTGTCATTTGACACTGTTTTAGTGTCAGGCTGAACAATAATGATTAGTTTTGTTGACATCATTAAAATGTTCTCATAGCAAGGTTAGAGAGGTATCTTGTCACCATTTTCACTTCTCAGAAGTTTTCATGTCTGAACTGTAAAAAAAAAAAACATCATAGAAAATGTTACACTTTGTTGGCTGTAATATAGATGTCTTTGTATTTCTTGGCAAGGTATTGACTTCTGTGTACACATGAGCCCTCCTGGATATCATAATAATAATATGTTTAATTCATATAGCCAAAGGCCAAGGGCTCTTTATAGTAATAACAAAATAGACAATCAACAACAAGCAAAACAACCCACAATAAAAAATGGGTTAGGTCTCATTCAGGTAAAATGTTTTTGACTTTGGTTTGCATTCACACTGCACCCCCTCCTGTTTAATTACGTTAAATTCCTGGGTAAAAGTGCACATGTGAAAGAAGCTATTGTCTCTTTAATGTTGTCATTCTTCAAAATCGGAAGAAGTCAAGACCAGGAGCAATCTATAACAAACCATGCTTGCTCTTCAAATCCCATTGTTCTGCACTCATCTGGCAGTAATTATCCAGCCAATCAGGGGGTTTTGTTGAAAATCCCCAAAAAAAGGAAATTCTTGCCTGCAGTCATGTAGTGTCCCTTTAGTGTTAGGACACTAGTCTCTAATCTAATTCATGGTGTATGTAATGAAATTAAACAATGAATTGTGCTGTGACTTTATTGCACTTTTTGAACTCCTCTACATCACTTCTTTGTTTTGGTTTGGCAAGAAAAGACATGTCCCCTGCCACCCAGGCTGTGTGTTAAAGGGTGGGTTTCTGAGGGTGCAGCTCAAAGAACAATGACATTCTTCACACACATGACTCACTCATCTCACTCATCTCTCTATCACACACAATCTTAAACACACATATGCGATCTCAGTACAAACTTGACATTGACGTCACATCCACATAAGGCTCATAATATAAAAAAAAAACATAGGTGCGTTGGTTCCTTCACTTCACCAGTGATATCAGTGCATTGATTTTGGTGAAGTTTAGTCCAGTGTTCTTCTAACACACTCACTGCCCACCTTAAAAGGTCAAGCTGCAGCTTAAGAAATGTTAAGCCTTTGGTTCCAAAGTGCACTGTGGTTTAACAGTAAGTGGTTAGTGGTCTAGTTGTTTAGACTAGCATATATGACTAAGATCGAGAACATCTGGGTACAACAATGAGAAATGTTGAGAAATTATTCACAATACAGATCTCTTTTCTCTGTTTCTTTGCTTGATAGTTTTGAAAATTAAAAAAAAAATTGCCACTATATTAGCATTCATCCAGTAATGTCTTCTCAAAACTCATTACTCCTGGAACCTACATGTACCCTGCATGGAAATGCATGCAGTGTAGCTGTGAAAATAGGTCCCTGATCCATATTTCAGTAATGTAAATCTACTTCAGATGGATCAGTTGTATCAGTTTATCAGATAAAATTTTTGTTAAATTAAACAGCTGTAATAGTAGATCTACTCTATTTAGTGATTTCCTTCACAACATCTACATAACTTTTAAAGTGGACGGGACAAAACTTGTATTTTGAAAAAGGAGAATTGTCCACGTCCCCCCAACTTTGACTGTAAAGAGCCAGGCCCTGATTAGGAGCATAAGTACTCCAATATACTCCTGCCAGGCCTCATCTCCTGGTGTGTCTTGGACTAGGCCATGTTTGATCTTGACCAAAGATGGCCTGATGGAGAGCTCAAGGCCAGAGAATTAAAAAGCCATTTAGTACAAAGTGCCTCATTGTGGAGATACTGGAGATACATCAGCTGTGATCAAATGCAACATTCAGGAAGAAAGAAAATGACACTGCACTCTATGATCCAGCTTTAAAGACCACTTTACATACTTACACAATCAGACAGACTCAGTTTAGGAAATAACCTGGGTTGAATATTTTTTATCTCAAACTAGGGCTGCAAAATACATTGTTGGTTAATCATTATTGCAGTATTGGCCTTTGCAGTAGTGATATCACCAAGCTTCCCAGATGTAGATGAGCACTCTAACCAATCATAATGTTTTAGTGTGTAATTTCAGCATCAGTTGTCCCAGATGAGTTTGTTTTAGGTGTTTGGATGAATAAGGCTTCTGTATAGTTTTGGGTCAAAATAATACAGGCCAGATCCCATTAATGGTTCATTAGTATGGTATTAAAATATTGTAGAGAATTTTGTAACTTCTTAATGTTGAATATGAAATTTGTTCATATCATGCAGCTCTAGCTCAGACTATTTTATCATTGTTCTAACAGAACTTTCAGTTTAGGTTCATAAAGAATCTCCTAACTGTACCTAGAGAAGAAAAAAATGTTTTTTCGCTTTAATGTATATTGATGCGACATGGTTTTATCCCATTTTTGCCATTTCTATTTTATTATAATGAAATGTAGTGTAAAGGGAGCTAGTTGTGTAAAAATTAAAAATAAAAACTTCAGATAATGGAGATTTGGTAAGACAGCCACAGTTTGTACCTTTCCTTTCTGTACAGTCCATGAGTTGCAACCTTTCTACTTTCTCTCAGCTATAAATGAACGCTAAGCTCTTTTTAACAGCTTCAGCTTATTCAAAAATTTTAAAAATGTCATAACTCAATCACTGAGGTGTAAACAAAGTCATTCAGAGTGGTTTGGCGTGAAATGCCCCATTCTAGTCAGAAGTGTCCACAGTGGTGGTGACAGACGTCTGGAGAGTTTAATGTCTCCAAAAACGGCAAAACATTAAAAATCACCATTATCAATATTACACATAAAAACTCAGAAGATATTTGTGTTAACCACTAGTTAACCACTTCACATCATACCACTCTGAATGATTTGTGTACATAATCAGTGGTTATACAGATTTTGAAAAAGGGTGAACTGGCTGAAACAGAACAGTTTATGCAAGGACACACTGCCTCTATGAGTCAGCATCCAATTGTTTGTTATTGCTTTGTTTTAGAACAGCCCTCATGTTCCTGCTGCCCAGTCATCCCAGTCTTCAATGGAGAGCTGTGCTGTGAAAGAAAAGCCGGCCATTTTGGACCTGTATATCCCCCCTCCCCCAGCTGTGCCTTACGCCCCACGGTGAGTGGCCCAATCCTCCCTCACTTTCAAATCTCCTAAAGGATTACCTTTTTTGGGAATTCTGTGTGGTTTTTCTTCCATGTGGTTTTGCCATATCACTGTGTGATTACATTCATTGTACACTTTATTAGCTCCACCTACTTTATAGGTACACTATATACGTTTAATATTATAGGCTGTAGCCCATCTGTTGCTGCACAATTTATGCAGTGTTGCTGGGTTTTTTACATACGTCAGTGTCTGGTTGAGAGTTCAAAAATATTCAGCCAAGAATAGCTCTGTGGTCAGAAACTGACCAATGATGAAGAACTAGATAATGGCTAGCAAACTGTGCATCAACAAATGGGCTACAGTCTCTAACAATGTACCAGAATATATATATATATTATATATTCCTATCCTCAGTATTATGCAAAAGTCAGAGACCTCCCTTCAATTGTTTAATTTCCTGTTAAAATGGACATTGAGTACAACTTATTCACATATTTATCAGAAAATTACACAGAAGCATCAAGAACTAAATTTTTTTTTTCAGTATTTATAGTGTCGATGTTTTACCTTTATTACAGCTTCCATTCTTTTCAGGAGAATCAGAAATAAAGAAAGAAATCTGCAGGACTCTTTTTCCACACCTCCAAAGTTGCATTTATTGCTTCTCACAGTCTCGTTTTTACGAAGTAACTCTAAACACATTCAGTGATGTTGAGGTCTGGACTCTGGGGTGGTCAGTCTATGTTCTGAGAACACCAGCAGTTTCTTTGTTTGATGTGTCTGTCTCCTTTTCTCAGTGAGGCTTCTTAACAGCTACACATCCTTTCAGACCCATAGTGCTGAGTTGTCTTCTCACAGTGGAAGGATGGACAGAAACACCTGTGGATGTTTTCAGATCTGAAGCAGCTTAATTTTCTCCTCTCTCTCAAAGATGAAAGCTTTAAGTGCTGTTTTTTTTATGGGGACAGTTTTGGTGTCTACCAGGTCTTGCATGGTTGTTAGGGGCCTCATTTTCTCTTTAGCTTTTATTTATCTTTTAAACTTAAAGAATAAAAACTAAATAACTTGTACTTAATGTCCATTTTGACTGGAAATTAAATAAATGAAGAGTGGACATTGGCACCGTAGTGTGTCTTGCCACTGTAATAATCCATTGCATCTCTTTTCCTCTGTTTGCAGAGATGTGAAGTCCAGTGTATGTTCTGGAGTGAAGATGAGGCCAAAAGGTCCTGAGTCACCCAACTCGTCTCTGGACCGTGCAGGCAGACGACGCTCTAACCTCACCGACTACACCATCAATCAGCCTGCCATCAGCGTCTCCCCAACAGAAGTTATAATCCCACAGACCAGACTTCGCCAGCGCACGCCCTCTAGAGGTCAGGATCACAACAGGCTTCTTGCTATTAAAGAGAAACTATTGTGGTGCAGCCTAAAATACAGTTTACTCTCTGTCAGTCTTACCTCAAACATAGTCAATCAGCCAAGGCTTCTATAATTTATGCAGCAGTGCTATGAAGCTAATGTCGCTAACAAGTAATGGAAGCTTATACCCCACCAGTTAGCACTGTGCTACTACTGTTTTAACATGCAGCACACTTTTTCTTTTTATAGATAACAGCGTTTCATACAGTGTCAGAATCCACCTAAGTAAGCCTATTTGAGATTATTTAACAACTCAAGATAGTTTGAGACCAGTATGTGATTGTTTAGGCCTGCAGTTTGCACAATGATAACCTTACAACTATACTTCTTTGCTATATACATTTTGTAAGTGCATGAAAACCTGATGAAGCAAGGTGTGTCTCCAAGAGCTTCGTAATTCAGTAGTTGAGGCACTGCTCAAGGAGTCAACCTTTTTCTAGAGCAGGTATGTCAACTCGGAGCCTTCCAGGCCAAAGTGCTGCGGAGATTAGCGTTTACCTTCATCTGACACTCTGAATGCAGTCCATGAAAGCAAATGGAGGATATGTTATCTCACTCGCGTCTCTACCTGGCAAAAGTATCACATGTTTATTTTTCACAATTGTAAATAAAAACTACCAACAATAAGACCTTTGTTCTAGCAAGACACCATTATCTGTTTTCGGTTACCTGGAATGCTCATATACCAACTACTTAGCAGTAGCTAAGCTTAAACAGCAACATTTGTCTCTAACCTTTGCTTATTTTCTTTGATGTTAGCGTTTGTAATTTACTATCTACAAAATAGTCAATAACACATTATAATTCACAGGTTTTGCACTTGTTATTGTTTCATAGATAAAATATGACATTAAAGTAGGCTGAGCTTCTTACAGGCTAATAGCTAACAGGCTAATTATGCCCCTTTAGATGTATGTAGTTAGAGGCTTTAAGTTAAAATCATTACTGAAAGTGTCTGTTTAAATTTTACTGAAATGCTTACTGAATGTCAGTTTAGTCATCTGTTGACTCTGTTTCAGTTACAGCTGCCATGAATTGCGTGGGTGATCTATGGTTAGCTTAGCACTACAAATGCTAATGGGAATGAGCCTTATGCTAGCAGTGTTAAAGGGGAATTCCACCCATTTTTAAACATTTCTGTATAACTTAGTGGTGGAAATGTGAACAAAGTCATTCAGAGTGATTTTTTGAAAAATGGTTCATTGTAGAGAATCTTTACAGTGGTGGTGATAGGAACCAGGGGTTGTGATGTCTACAATGCAAATGTAGCTGTTTTATTTACTATCCAAAACCACTAGTGATCCTACATGTGTCTTATAAGGTTTTATATGCTGTGGCAATAATAAATAATGGTAAATATGATTAAAAAAAGTTTTATTTGGGGATTATTTTGCCAGATTCACAGAATCTGGAGAAATCTCTGTATGCAAGGGACAAGGTCAAAAACCAGTATTTGCTGGCCATGATCTTTGGCCTTCAGACGGCAACGCATAAAAAGAGACTGGGTGCTAAACTGACCTGCCTGCAGTCCAGACCTTCACCACTGAAAACATTTGGCACATTATTAAATGAAAAATACGACAAAGGAGACCCTGAACTGCTGAGCAGCTGAAATCCTATGTTAAGCATAAATAGGAAAACATTTCACTTTCAAAACTACAGCAGTCGGTCTCCTCAGTTCCCAAACACTTACAGAGTGTTGTTAAAAGAAGAGATGATGAAACACAGTGGTAAACATGCCCCCGTCTCAACTTTTTTGGAACATGTTGTTGGCATTAAATTCAAAATGGGCCTATATTTTTCAAAAAACTGATTTGATTTGTTGTCTTGGATTCGCTCATTACTCAGATACCGGCGCAAAACGTCTTCACCTGAGAGAGAGAAAAATCATGAGATTTCTCTTAAAATATGTGCACAGATACTGGAAATGAACATGGAAGAAAGACACTAAAGTACATTCACTGGTCACTTATTTAGAAACACTGACTTCCATTCACCGCCCACTTTATTAGAGACACTGACTTCCACTTTTCTGCCACTTTATTAGAAACACTGACTTCCACTTTTCTGCCACTTTATTAGAAACACTGACTTCCATGTACTGTCCACTTTATTGGAGAACCTTACATTGTACATCCACTCACTGCTCACTTTATCAGCTACACCTACCTTATAGGTCTACTGTATAGGTGTACAGTTACAGGCCCATCTGTTGCTACACAATTCATCAGTCCCCCTCTACCCCAGTCCCCGTATAGCAATGAATTTTTCATCTTCAATGAAATATAGGGTTTAAATGATTTGCACATCACTGAATTTTGTTTTTATTTGCATTTTGCACAGCGCCCCAACTTTTTTGGAAATAGGGTGGTATTTTAGATTCAGTTATTATTTTTTCTCTGAGTTGTTTGTGATATTTGTCCTAGTTTATTTTCTAAAATAAAAGGTTATGTGCATCTAAAATCTGTTTGAGGAGATTGAAAACTAGTGAGAGCTTGTATGCTGGACAGTAATCTGGCTGGTCCAAGGGTGGACCAGCAGTGGCAAACAGTCAGCGGGGTGCCAATCTTATCAAGCCAGCGGACGAATATTTGCTTGCTATCTGGGTGGATTTTAAAAAATATGTTGTAGGCCAAAACCTTATCTTAAAACTATCGAAAAGCAATGTCTCAGGCGTCAGACAGCATATTTGCAACAATTTATGTAATAAATTTTTCTGTGAGGGAGTGTTTAGAGTCATTAAACTTTTCAGATATCTCGTCACCACCACTGTGAATTCTACTCGGTATGGTCCACTAGAACAGAGTATTTCATATTTGTTTACCGATTAACCAATTAATTATGCAGAAGTTTTGGAAAGGCCATGGAATTTCTCTTTAACTGAATGAAGAAAGGCTTAATTGCATTAATTGCTGCAATGAGTTTCTGACACATGATTGTATCTGGGTCTCGGTGTAAACAAAATTAAAATGTTAAAGAAATGACTGGAACATCCAGTCTAAACATGACAACACAATGCGTTAGCTGTTGTTGATTATCAACTCCTTTCTGAACTGAATCAGATGTGCTACTGTGAGCCAAGTGCAAAGATATGTAATGCATTCACCTTCCAGCACTGGGAATGAAAATCTTTTCTAAAATCAAATGGCGAGCTGACTCATACGCACAGTCTGCAACCTAAAAGAATTTGCTGTTGTTTACTTGGTTAATGTGTGTGGAAGAATCAGGCATGGTATCAGTGTACTTTGTGATAGCATTATGAGATTGCTGGGATGTTTGAGCACCATTCAAGTGAGTAATTATAGCCGTATGTGTGTGTGTGTTGTAGGAAAGCCACGGCCCGTGTCGATGCCGGCGGACGTCTGTCTGGGCATGTCCCACTCGCCCTGCCCGCCCTGGGCGCTTGGAAGGAAAGGTATGACCAACACCTGCCTGTGTTTTTACCTGAGCCAAAGCAAGCAGAGCTAATCTTCTGCTATCAGCTGGAGCTTTACACAAAGCCCCCATTAACACGTGCTCTGCATTCCTGCACTGTTTATATATCACTAATTACAGCAAGGGTCACTGACAGTTAGGCCATAAATGTTGCTTTATGGGGTACGCTTTCATAAAAGTATGCTCACATGCTAAAGCATGCTGTCTTTTTTTACACACATTTGTGGGACAATCAGCAGTACAACTGGCCACTTTATTAGAAACCTCTACCTTGTAGCTCCATATTGCTTGTGTACAGTTACTGTGTGGTTGCATTAGTCTTTCTCTAGTCCTTCCTTCACCACTGTGATGGAAAAATATAGAAAATAAAAACAATACTGTTATCAGAGTGGGGGAGAAATTATATATGAAAATTAATTTTGGCCAAAAAATGAGCACATATGTTATTGAACATTATTCTTATCACATTTCAAATTTGATGCCATCTTCAGATGCATTAAAGTGATAACATGATGCATTGATGCATTTGTACACCCCTGTTGACTATCCAAACTCTGGTCAGCAGCAGTCCTGTGGTAAGAAACTGACCAATGATAAGTGGCTCATTTTAGTTGAAGCTGAGGTTAAATCTTTTGGCCCTGATTTGGGCCCGACCTGGCCCAAAACATGCAAGACATGTGGCCCATGCAAGATGAGCATGCAGCAAATTAATTTGGCCCTGAATTGGTCCACAACACACCTGACATCAGGCCTATATAAGGTGGAGCTGGCCCTGATTTGGTCCAGATATGGCCCATGTAAGGTGAGAGCATGGTAAATTTATTTGGCCCGGATTTGGCTCATATGCGGTAGACCTGTGGCTGTGTTGAGGCAGCCAGGCTCACCCTGGATCAACGCCAAATGTGGGCCATAAGAAAACTGCAGGTGTGGGCCACAAAAATTCATTGCTATACGGGGACTGGGGTAGAGGGGGACTGATGAATTGTGTAGCAACAGATGGGCCTGTAACTGTACACCTATACAGTAGACCTATAAGGTAGGTGTAGCTGATAAAGTGAGCAGTGAGTGGATGTACAATGTAAGGTTCTCCAATAAAGTGGACAGTACATGGAAGTCAGTGTTTCTAATAAAGTGGCAGAAAAGTGGAAGTCAGTGTCTCTAATAAAGTGGGCGGTGAATGGAAGTCAGTGTTTCTAAATAAGTGACCAGTGAATGTACTTTAGTGTCTTTCTTTCATGTTCATTTCCAGTATCTGTGCACATATTTTAAGAGGAATCTCATGATTTTTCTCTCTCTCAGGTGAAGACGTTTTGCGCCGGTATCTGAGTAATGAGCGAATCCCCACTATCTCGGAAGAGTCCCCTTGTTACCCTGTCCCGTACAGACCCCCAGGTGAACGGCTGGTCCGGGGGGTCGATCACATCCGGGGCAGTCAGTGCTTCATCAATGCTGACTTGCACAATAGCGCTACCATCCCCTACCAGGAGGCAGTGGCCAGAAAAAATTCAACAGCAAAGACCTCCAAACGTCCACCCTCAGAACCCTCTCTATTCAGCAGCTGGCTAGCTAAACTCAAACTCTTCACACACTGATTACGACAGTGGATACGCACTGCAAAAAATTACATTTTGGCAAATGAAAACATCTTAACTTAGTAGTTTGATTAAATATGCCAGGGTTCTTCAAGTACAGTTCCACTGACCAGACGATTAAAGAGGAATTTCCCCAATTTGTCAAAATTTCAGCATTATTCTGTCATTGTGAAGTGGTAGAGAAACTTACACACTCAGATTTCTTTACAGTGGTGGTGATAGGAACCAGGGTCACCATGTCTACAACACAAATATAGCCATTTTATTTACTATACAAACCACCCAGTGAACATAGTGGGTTTTTACATGTAATGGTGATGATAGTAAAATTGAAATAAATCTGAAAAAATATGTTTTCTTTGGGGACTATTTTGCCTGCATATACGTCTCTGCCAATAATGTACTTTGTAAATTTTCAAAGTACGTTTTAGACGAAGACCTTTTCAGAACTATTGTAAAACATTGTCTTAGACATCAGGCAGCGTATTTTGACCATTTTATGTAATAACTTTCTGTGAGGGAGCTTTTAGACACGTTAAACTCTTCAGATGTCTGGTTCCTGTCACCACCACTGTGAACAATTCTGAACTTCTGAGTTTCTCTGAATGACTTTGTTTACATTTTAACTATGTAATTATGTCATTGATGTGAAGCATGGCTGTAATGAAGCATCAGAAACTAATTGTGTGCTAATAGCACCCTACAGTGGAGAATCTGCAGCCTGCTAAACATGAGTGAGTGAGTGAGTGAGTGGGTAACAGATGAGCCAGTTAAAAGGACCTATAAAGTAATTATCCCTTATATATAAGTAATATTAGTTCCTGATATGCCTTAAGGAATATCATAATGAGAATTAATTTAAAATGCATTCACGTATCAAGATAGCACTTTTTGCAGTGTGAGTGTGTGTGCCGCTGTCTCTTGTGCTGCTGCTCAACCATTACACAGAGTGGCTGCCATCTATGCTCAGTATTATTATTATTATTATTATTATTATTATTATTATTATTATTTAAGAGCTTTGAAAACTCATGGTGGAGTTTTGGCTCTGAGAGTAATTCTTCATGCCATTTGCTCTGCAAAACAGCACCTTAAATGTAGAAATATAAAATATATATAAATTATATGTTTATATATAAATGACAGATTTTACCTATTTTAAGTGATCCTATCAGGTAAAACAGTCCTACTGAAGAGGCAGATCATTTTATTTACTTCAAGCAGTAAAACAAGCCAAACTAATTGCCATTGTGGTAAAATAATTTCACTTAAATACTTTAATGCTCATCTAGAAAATTGTCTAGAAAAATAACAAGTGTTTAAAAGATATCCATATGTTGGTTAGAAGAACTCAGGTTTTGTTTTTGTTCTAATGTGTTGTTTTTGAACACTCACTGCCCACTCATGGTTTTACAAATTTACATTCAGCAGATGCTCTTACCCAGAGCCATCATGTTACAGAGGCAGGTGCGTGTAGAGTTTGGAGTCTTATAAGTGTTGTGCTTGCCCGGGTGGAGAGTTAAACCTGCTGTGTGGAGGGCAACTGTAGTACCCAATACACTTCACCAACTTACATACATTTTTCTCAGACAGCCTAAGACTCTGTTCACAAAGACACTTTGGTATATGTAAAAATGCGTGCCTGCCATTCATTTTAAGGAGAGCAGTGCATTAACAGACAACAGGTACCAACACATAACAATGCACCAAGATCAGTCAGCTTATAGGATCTTCAGTCAGTCATATATATATTAACTCCTTTATGCCCAAAAACCTAAAAAAGTACAAGAAGGAAATTAGCCACAGAGTATTCTGACAAGGCCATTTGATAAGAATGGCCCAAATTTGGTGTGGGGCCACTTTGTGGCACTGCCTGTCAACCAATATTTTAAATTTTTAACAACCCTTATGTTTCATAATATTCATGTCATATTCTCTAATATTAATTAAAATGGAGTTTTGGAAAAACAGGGAAAAATTACAAGACTAACTTCTCTCTTCCTTCTCCTTTTAGTTTACTGCTGTATGAGTTTTTTTGGAAATATTTATAACATTTATAAACAGTATGGGCGGCAGGATGGCGCTGTCAGCTCATAGCAAGAAGGGCCTGGGTTTGATTCCCGGCTGGGTGACCAGGGTCCTTTCTGTGTGGAGTTTGCATGTTCTCCCCATGTCTGCATGGGTTTCCTCCTACAGTCCAAAGACATGCAGTCAGGCCAATTGGACATGCTAAATGGCCCCTGGGGGTGAGTGTGTGTGTGAATGTATATGTCGCTGTATCTGCCCTGTGATGGACTAGCGACCTGTCCAGGGTGTTTCCTTCCTTCTGCCCAATAACTGCTGGGATAGACTCCGGCTCCTTCTGAGACCCAAAAGGATATACGGCTTAGAAAATGTGTGTGAATACAATACAATAAGATAATAAGAGTCTGTAGCCAAACCACTTGACAAATTTTGATTCTGTTCTAATAAAGTGGTCAGTATTGGGCATAAATGGGCAACACAAAATGGAGGAGACAGAAATGGCTGCTGCTCACATCCCGAGCTGTAAAAATCCAGCTCTAAATGTTCAGTACGACAGCAACTGGTTTGATTAAAAATAACAAGTTTTTTTTGGTTCATTCTATGAAAAAAGCAGATTTTTACAAAGGAGTTTTCATGTTTGCATGAGTTTCCTGCTCACATCGATCTCCACCCACAAACACACCCACAACAAACCAGTAACCCTCATAAATGTGCCTTTTTTGTTTGTTTTTCTTCATTAAAATACCTTGTCCTTGTGAACGCATCCTAAGACTATTGCACACTACTAAATGTTGAATAATCTTATGATATTCTTAAAGAAATCTCATGAAGAGAAACATGATATATTGTCTATACAGTTGTATGCAAAAGTTTGGGCGCCCCAGCTCAAATGACATGTATTGTTGATTTTCTATGTGGAAATAAGTGAACACATCCTCTACAGAGAATACAGAACTGCACATTTTACTGCACAGTTACTGTTTATTTCCAGAACTGAACATATTGGAAGCATAAAATGTGGCCTGTGCAAAAGTTATGGCATGCTTTTTTATGTTGTGCTTTACAAATATGCACCAAAATTGGCAGAAAATGTCTGTTCCCCATAGAGGATGTGTCAACTTGTTGTTATGTCATTTGGCCGGAGGTGTGACTTTTGCATACGACCATATTTAAGATGGATTCTTTTGCCAAGACAGCATTTTTTGCAGTGTGTGCAATTTTGTTGTTACAGACATGCTTACAAAAAGCCTGTTCACTACAGAGGAACATACAGGGGTGTTAATGCTGTGTCTTTTTCAATGAGAAAGACTCTGAATCAGGTCAAAAGCATTTCCCCTCATATCTCTGTGTGTACTGTGTCACTTGTACTTAGTAATAAGTTATTTCATCTGTGTATATGTTTTCTATACTGGTTCAGTCACTTGGTTCAGTTTCCCAACAGGAAGGATTTTACTGTGTTTTAGTTTGTTTATTATGTACCTCATTTCTGAGATATCTTTCCACTGGGGTTGAACATAAGGCTATAAGCTATGCAGAACATGTTGTGTTCACAGCATGAGAGAAGCATATCTATAAAGGTGAGTATGAGTGTGTATTTGTAAAATGTAAAATATTTTATATAGTTATAGAGTTTACTTTTTATGTGACTGCTGTGCCTTCTTCATTTCATAGTTGTTGTTTTACCTAAGGAAACTATAATAAAAACGGGTTCAGCACAAATAACACAATATTAGTTTTAATTTTAAATATGCGATAAAAGTTTTAACCTGAAACATGATCAAACAATGGGCTTCACTCTCAGAGCTTCATTAATAGAGTAATATATGTCACTGCTTCTGTTAACAGTGGGATCAACACCCATGCTGCAGTACTTCTATGCAAATAAAACTAACAATATGGTGCATTCGTTCATGTGTTCTTATTGTTCACAAATCAAGTTAATAAAGAATAAATTTTATTTTTCAAGCCCAACTGAGACCTTTTATTTCACTGTTAACCCCTTGTACATGGTGTCCACACACCTGGACGGTTGATTTGAGGCCTTTCTTTGGTAAATTAGGTAGAAGCAACATCCAAGCCACTTGTTGGCTGAATAATGAGAACCATTACTATAAAACAGAACATCAGCCATTATGCTGAACACAGTTTTATCACTGGTTGCTGGCGCTCTCAATCCAAAATGGGTAAAGGTAACCTTATCTCTGGTATGCTGGTCTAAACTTTACACTAAACTTTACAAAATGTTTTGTCAGATGAACTCTAGTGAACTTGATTAGAGGTTTTTAAAAGTTCTTTGATATGTATTTATGTATTTATATTCTTTTAAATAAAATAAAAAATTGAAACAAAATTTAAATAAAAACACAAAAGTTAATGAGGAATAGGAACAAACTTAAATATGACATGTTTCTGTCAATTTGAGTTTAACATATGGAAAAAAAAACAAAAACACAAAAATGTGCCGTATTTTTTTCACAGGCCACATTTTATGGTTTTTTTCTCTAATATTTTAAATAACAAACAAACAGTAGGCGTGCATTAAAATGTGCAGTAATGTGTTCTCCGTAGAGGATGTGTGAACTTATTTTACTTAGAAAATCAACTAGAATTTGATCAGAATTGAACTTTTGCATAAGACTGTATGTGCACCTCATGAAACAACAGACCTAATTGCATACAATATTTTTTGTACACCTTTTGGATAAAATCTTTAAATCCATTTATAGATTTGACAAATACAAATAGATATAGTCCGCTCCATAATTATTGGCACAAACTATGTTATGAAAAGAAGTCTTTGTAATTAATTTGCTAACTAAAATACGATCTTTTTTAAACAAAAGCAAAATGTCAAAATAATTGGCACACTTAGACATTTTATAAAACAAAAGTTATTCAAGCATATTTCCATCTATTTATTGAATTTATTTTTCACTTGAGTGTTCCGGACCTCTACCTTAATTATAGGCACCCCTGGTTAAAATGAGCTTTAAAAATGTAGTTAATTAGCTCAATCTCACACTAAAAATATGAGAGACTTCTAACATTTATTGAGGTACGTTTGGTCCAAGGAAACAAAAACTATTATTAAACAATATTTTTTTCTTTACTAAGGGTGCCGATTATGCAGCTGAATTTATTGACAGAGTGGGACAGGGGGAAAGGCACAACTCCTTAAAACATACTGTAGGTCTTGTTTCATTCCTTTAATACATTGTTTTCACAAAATGGACAGTTCTGTAACGTTTTAATTATTATTTTTAAATAATTAAAATGTTTTATTATCCATGTTATTGCTGTTATAAGAAGCATCTGTTTAAAATCTGCATGTTTTTAATCATTTGTGCAATCATGAAGAAACAGCGACGCCTAGTGGTTGAACAGGCGAAGCGCATTAAACCGTTCACTCGGCTGAAGAAGAAAAAGCCAGACCCAAAACACCAACAGCGTCTACAGACGAAGCTGAAATTAGTCTTATTCTCCAGCTTCTTGTTTGAATTCTCACGTTCCACCTTAATTGATGCAGAAGTTACATTCTGGCGCTAGAATGTAGGCTAACTGCTGCACCATTTAAGGTGGAACGGGAAAACAGAAGCTGGAGAATAAGAGGCTGACTTCATGCTCGTAATCTATAGCCTAGTGCTGCGTACATCAATTATGCTGCTGAGTAGGTCGGTATTTGTCCTTTGACCCAGACGCTGGAGGTCAGGAGTAACTGTTTTTGGTGTCACTCAGGATGTCCACCACCAAAGTGTTTTTGAGAGCTATTTCATACACGTCTTGGAAGCTACACGTTTTCCAGTGCTGGTTTCAGGTAATCTTGATCATTGACAACCCAGTGTTCTCGTGTAGTTTCCGGCTAACTGTGTTTGTGTTATTGCTGGTTAGCTTTTTTGCTCAGGAAGGATCACCAAACAGTCCAGTGAGGCCTACAGATGAGTCCCTCACGACCTTGTGTTGACGTATACCAGTACTTTAACTGCTCCGTGTGTCCATAAGTGTTTCTTCACTTCTCTTTTGCAGAATATACTTTCTCCTTTTGCTTCTCCAGTTATGACCAACATGGAGCAGTCTGTAACTCATCACACTGCAAAAAAGAATGTCTTGGTAAGTGTAAGCATCTCAAATGTAGGAGTATTAGATATACTGCCTACATTTAAAGGCTTTCACTTGCCAATTGTGCAGTTTCCCTTCCCTTTCTCTGGGTTTGTAGGAGTTTGGTGGTGTAGTATGCAGTTGTCATGCTGGAATAGATGTTTAAAATGTTGCTTAAAGTGATAGTTTGGTGAGATCAGTATTCATTAATTTACACAATCTCCAACCCACCCACCACCACTACCACTACCGCTACCACTGTACGGTTGATCAGCTAACACTTGGTAAGTTTCCTTCTTGAGCTCATACTCCACCAATTAGCATTTTGCAAACTGTATGACAAATTTATCCCATACTTGCCTCAAACTGAATTAGACTTAAGTGGTAAGTGTTTTTGGACATTTTATGATTGTTATCTATAAAAAAAAAATGGACAAACGCACACAGTGAGGGGAAATAAGGTGGTTAAGGGCGCTGGCTGGACATCTGAGATCTGGGGCTTAGCCCAGTTCACTGTAGGGCTGTTTTGCGATATCCACACCTGTAATATGTGTGGTTTCTGACTTTATATAGTATGAGGATCTACACATCAACGACACTTGCAGCAATTCAAAATCCATCTTTGGTGTGTGAACAAAATTAAAAAAAGATGTGTAAAACCACGACTTACTACAGAAAATAAAAAAAAGTCAACAGAAATATTTTCCCGTAATGCCTTTTTTTTAGGGCCCTCTGCACATTTCCTCTCTCTCCACATCAACCAGCTCTTCTACATGTCTAACCTCTAATGTCCTAACAAAAATGTATCTATATATTTTACATATTGATTGATGCATTAAAAGGCTAAATAGTCAGTCAATAAAACTGTTCATGAAACCAAACTAAAAACTATATTTTAAATATAAAAAGTACAAGACGAGAAATCTGATTTTTCACCTTGTCATTTCTCGATTCTTGTTTTAATTTTCCCGTTCCATCTTAAATGATGCAGCAATTACATTCTGGCACCATTTAAGGTGGAGCAGGAAAATTAGAACAAGAATCGAGCAAATGAGAAGCTGACTTCAGCCTCGTAAAAAGTTGAATATTGTGGGACATTTTACAAGAAACTATTCCACTTTTGTGGAAAAGTTTCCTGCCAGAGCTGCGAGAAAAGTGGCTATAGCTGAGCTAAAGCTTAAAGCAAAGCAAAGTAAGTCTGCGTTTTCGTTTATATTGTATTTTTTAGCCTATACTAGGACATCAGCACATACTGAGACATATTTACAGCCGAGATGGTAAAGTGGACGTAGAATGATGTGGCTCCCAAAGTAGCTCGATTTTTGTTGAAAAGGACAAAATGGCTCTTCTTAACATTTGGGTTGCTGACCCCTGTTCTAGAGCCCTGAGTTGTAAAGCAGTGGAACTGCATTCTCTGGAGTGATTGAGGTCCATCCAGTACCTTTGGGATTGTGATCCAGAACTAATCGTCCAAAATCAGTACCTGACCTCACTCATGCTCTTGTGGCTGAATGCAGTCACATCCAACAGCAATGTTCCAACATCTAGCGTAAAGCCTTCCCACAAGAGTAGAGGCTGATACAGCAGCAAAGGAGGCCAAACTCCCAATTAATACGCTTGATTTCAGAGGAAACGGATGAACAGGTGTCAAACCTTTGGACATGCTTTCCATGTCGCATAGCTCTGAACACTAGTAGCAGTCGTCCATTTTCATAACAGTGTGTCATAAGGCTGGACGCAGTTTGAGGCGAGTACATGATGGTGGCCATTACTTCCAATACTCGTTAGCTAAATTAGAATAATCCAGTGCAAAACTAAAGAAGAAAACATCTGACACCAAGCATATCATGTATCATCTACATTTAGATAAAAGGGGGAGGGGAATTTATGAATTTTAATTCTTGCCAAACTATCACTTTAAGGGTTTGCAGTGGCAGCAGCCTCAACTTTGTGGTACATGTGTGTGTTTGTGTGTGTGTGTGAGAGAGAAACAGACTTGTGGGAGGGGAAGTGTCTGAGTGTGTGGTGTGTGTGCGCTCCTAAGCTGCAGTCGGTGTCATTGCTCTTGTGAATGTGAGTTGTGTGGGCTGATGGCTGTGTTGCTCTGTTTTAAAGCTCGCTCGTCTTTCCTCTCCTCTCGCCTCAACTCAAGGTTCCTCTGCAAGACTTCACCAGTGCAAGGTGTCGAGGTAAGTGCATCAAACCCAACACAGATAGACATGCCTGCACACAGTGTGGATACTGGGGCTGCCGAATGTTGTGAATATATTGCTACATATTGCGATCCTGATATGCCTTACAGCCTGGTGTAGACTTGGGCCACCAAGCCAATGAACCTTGAATGAAATTTATAGAAGTGTGTTTATTGTATATAAAATGTATTTACATTTCACAAACAGGTGTTGCGCTGAAAAAGAAAATAATAAAAATGTTACATTAATAGGGCCCATATTCTAAGTTTTTCTTGTATATTATTGTTTTTTCCAAAGCTCACATATAATGTTTGTGGGCTTTTGTACAAAAAACTAGTGATGCATGATAATATCTGCAGATATTTCCTTTCAAAAAATATATCGGCATTGGACAGATGTTTCGATTTGACTGATATTACAAACCAACATTTGATGATGTATTTATTGTACTCTGGAAGAGCTGAATGTTTTACTGCTTTTGTAAACCTCCACAACCAAGTGATATATATTTGTTTGTAATGCTAATCCAGGAGAATTTAGTCCCAATTTCTACATTTTAGAAATGTTTATATATCGGAATTTGCCTACAGCTCCCATATCGGCACATTCCTAAAAGAACAGTTGTCACTTATACATGACAATTTCTCTCTTTTTTCCCTTTAAACGAGCTGGTTTTGTTATTGTGCCTTTAAAACAGATCTATGCACAGTGCCGTGAAAGACTATTTGCCCCCCTATTGCCCCTATGTTTGCATACTGTCACACTTAAATGGTTTTAGGTCCTCATACAAGATGTAATAAAAGACCAAGAGAACACAAAGAAACACAAAACACAGTCTTATAAATGACTAATTTCATTTATTGAAGGAAAAAAAAGTTTTTTTACAGCTTTTTTCTAAATTGCTTTAATTCAGCCAAATTGGAAGGCTTTTGAGCACAAACTGCCTGTTTAAGGTCCTGCCAGAGCATCTAAATGGGATTCAAGCCAGTACTTGGACTAGACCACTTCAGATCCTTAATTCCATTTCTTTTGAGCCATTCAGAGCTGGACTTGCATAACCCAATTGTGTTTGCGCATCATGGATTGATGATCGGACATTCTCCTGCAGCATTTTCTGGTAGAGAGCAGAATTTATGTTTCCATCAGTTATGGCTAGCTGTCCAGGCCCTGAACTAGCGAAGAATCCCCACACCATCACACTACCACCACCATGTTTCACTGTTGGTATGATTCTTATTGTGAAGTGCTGTGTCAGCTTTACACAATAGGACCACTGTTTTTCGACATGTTTCACTTTCAGTGCATCAGTCCTCAGAACGTTATTCCAAAAAGCTTGCTGGTCATCAAGGAGGAATATAAGACAAGCATGTTTCTCTTGGTTATCAGTGGTTTTCACCTTGCAATGGTGGAATCATGTCTGAAGTGAGTGAGATCCTCAGTTTTTCCTGGAGTCTTCGCTGTGCTTTTGAAAGAGTTTTGGTCATCTGGCCACTTCTGAGAATGTTCACCACTTACTCTTACTATGGTTCACTGGAGTCGCAGAGCCTTAGAAATGGCTTTGTGACCATTTCCACACTGATATACTTCAACTTTCAACTGTATTACTTCCTGAATTTCTATTTCTGTTTGTGCTGCTTGTAGCTTTTTTTTCTATCAGTAAATGAAATGATGTTTCTCACAAAATTCTTTGTCTTAATTTTTGTTTGAAGACCTGAAATCATTAAGTGTAACACACATGCTTAAATTTATAGTATTCAATTACATCGTCAAGAAAGCCCCATCGCCATTTTAGGAGGCAAGCTGTAACTCCAATTGTAGATAGAGCTCGTCTCACCACCATTGCTGCAGCTAAAACCCTGCAAGTGGGTGAAAACCAAGCAAAATAGACAAGAACGATGATGAAAAAGCGTAAAAGATATGTAGTCTCCAGAAAATGCTGTGGGGAGATGAGGAGCTAATTAATGGACTGGATCTGTACGACCTTCACACCTCTCAAGATGATTTCAATGCGTGAAAACATAAATGTGGCTACCAAAACCACTTAAATTATACTCTTAAATTATATATATAATAGATAGATAGAATCTGTGCTGCAAGCAACATTTCCTATTGCCTAGTGCCTCTTGCCACAGTATTCTACATTTCCCATTTTAGACACTAAAAATGGAGAGCCTGCAGCCCAAGTGGGAAGTGTTTTTGTTTGTTTTGCATTTTTCCCTTTCAACAGAGAACTACAAATCGAATGTACCTTCTTATTTGAATTTTCCGTTCCACTTTAAATGGTGCCTCAGTTACGCTGAAATGCCTCGTCATTTTCATAGTTTCATGTCCTATTAAACATGTTCTGGGTCTCATTTGATAAGTTAAAAAGTAGTTGTTTTTGTTATTAATGTTGGTTATATGTGAATGTACGAAAAAGGTCACCTAGTCTAGTTGTTTGTTGAAAGGGAAAATTGCAAAACAAAGAAACAAAAAACATTCCCCACATGAGCCACGTGCTCTTCCTTTTTGGTGGCTAAGATGGGAAATGTAGAAGGCTGTGGCAAGGGGCTCTAGGCAATAGGAAATGTTGCTTACAGCACAGGTTCTCAGGCCTGGTCTTGGAAAACCCCTGTTCTGTATGTCACTGTTTTTTGTAACACACCCACTTCAGCATGTTAATTATCTGGGCACTTAACAAGATTAAGTGATAGAGAGAGCATAACACTGAACACACTCTCTATCAGTTAAGCTGATCTTAACTCTAAGATATTTATGAGAAACTGAGCCGATTCGTTGAATCAGGTATGTTTAGTGTTGGGAAACCTTAAAATGTGTACTAGGATTGGAAACCACTTTTTTCCAGTATATTAAAAGGGAATTCCACTGTTTGTTCAAAATTGCTGCTTAATTAAATGGTTAAAATGTAAACAAAGTCATTCAGAGTGGTTTGGTGTGAAAGGCTCTGTTCTAGAGAAACTTATTGAGTCAGAGTTGTTCACAGTGGTGGAACCAGACATCTGATGAGCTTAATGCTCCTAACAGCTCCTTCACAGAAAGCAGTACACGACATAGTTATAAATATACTGCCTGACGTGAGGTGATAATTTTTGGTTTTGGGCTTGAGTTTTGGGGTCTGTGCAGGCCGTTGTGAGGCAAACTAGACCTCCAAGAAAATATATTTTTCAGATTTTCCACCATTTTACCATCATCAATGTTACACGTAAAAAACTTAAGACACGTGTGGGTTCACTTGTGGTTTTGGATCGTAAATAAAATCGTGTTTGTGTTGTAGACATTGACCCCTGGTTCACATCACCACCACTGTAAAGAAATTTGGGTCAGTGAGTTTCAATGAACTACAATGAACCATTTCACATCAGACCACTTTGAATGACTTTTTACTTCTTAACAACTGAATCAAGCAGGAATTTAGAAAAATTGAATTTTGAATTTTCCTTCAAATAGGAATAAACCGATAAGGGAATTTCAGACTACTGATGATATTTAAATATTTTTCATGTACATATCTGCTGATGCTGATACATAAACATTTAAAAGTATAGAGATTAGGATAAAATCTATGTAGATTAGCATTACAAATATAACACTTATTACTATAGGGTTACAAATACTGCAAATACAAATGATATTTTTAAATCTTAATATCTTTTTGTTACAGATATTTTATTTTTTTTTAATTACCTGCTGATAGATATAATTTTGATACAACCATATATCCCTAATATTAAAAAACTCACTGGTTGACCTTTGATGTCAGAAATTGTGCATTATTTTGAATAAAATGATTGCTTTTTGGATTATATAAATGCACTGATTCATCACAATACTCGCATAAACTCTGAACTCCTCTGGAATTAATCAGAAGGCTCAGAGTACTATTAAAAATGTGATACAGATGTAGGCAAAGGTTTTGTCACACCTGGGAAAATGATACTTTTACTTCATTTTCTAAGTGAAAATCTCATATTTGGCCTTGAAGAAATATATTTTTTTCCATTTAAAAAGGAGTTCATTGTGTTATAGGTATATGAGTGGGGAAAATAAGTCAAAATGCATTTATTACTTTCAATATATGACTAACAATACTTTCATTGTGTAAACAAATTAGGTTTGCAAAATTACAAGTTTTATAAAACCTTATTAAAAACATGATGTGTGTTATATTTCGTATTTATTTGCATTTTTTTATGTATGTTCATTTTATATCTTAACACTCACTATATTTATCAAAGCTTTGAATTGCCTGTTTTAGTTATTAAAACTGTGCTGGCCCTGGTTGCACCATTTGACTTTTATGGGTTGTACCACCTGACTTTTCAGACTAATTTCAAATTAAATAGGCACCTACCTAGATATCTGTAGAAACCTTTGCCCTTGAACTTGATTTTATACTTAAAGGTTTGCAAATAAATAAACATAATAATGACACATTTTCATGGTTTTTCTGTGCTCACACCACCTTATATGGTAAACTGAGTCATTCTAACCATGACTCAATGAAATTTTATCCAAAAGGGCTATTGACCTTGGCATTGCACCATGAAGGTCACTTTGGGTCTACTTTATGATGCGATACCCTGGCTCCTCTTTTGTAAAAGCATGTCAAAATAAAAGTTTTTTGTTTTTGCCTGTGCTGCCTGACATTTGAGTAAGTAAGACCTTTCAGACAAAAGTTTTTCAGAGAGTTGAGTACTTTTAAAGTTGCCTTATTTTGCACTGGTTTTTATTTTAAAGTTTTCAAACATAAAATCATGCTGTACTGTTTTATTTAAAAATTACAATTTATTTAACTAAATTACCTTATTTGATTGTTTACTTAATCAACATATATGGCTGACTGGTTATAGCACCTGATACTGTTGACATCTGGAAGCAAAAAAAAAAAAAAACTAGCTTAAATAAATTTTCGATGGATGCGCTAAAATTGTTTCACACTAAAGAGGTATTTCTGAATGTGTTTGATATTTTTTTGGGGAAATAATGGACTTATTATGTCAATAATTGACATATTGGGCATATTATGTCAATGACCCTGTGCGTATCATATGTGTTGTGTATACATTCAATCTCCTCTGTGATTGTAGCCTCTCATGCTCATTAATACAGCTCATAGATTCTTGTTAGTGGACAATCTCGAGGGAACTGGAGTGCTGCTTCATTGTTGCTTCTTTTGAGTTGATTTTATCCATAGTTCTCTGGTGAGCACTGTCCTGATAAAGTTGCTGAAAGAATCACTTTTTTAAAAGCTGTATTTAAATTACAGAGCTACAATCACGGATTCTATCAGAGCAACATACAGCCTGCCTCAGCTGGGCTTCAGCCTGCGCTACTACAGGTGGGGTCAAAGTAGGAAAATGTGTTAACAGCACTGTTGTGATGCCTCCGTGTCCTTTAGGGAATGTTGCGATGAGTCGGAGGAAGGTGTCGGTGAAGGACCTTGGCCAGGTGGACTCTCAGGGCTGGCTGTACAAAAAGAGAGAGAGCAGAACATTCCTGGGGCACAAATGGAAGAAATACTGGTTTGTGCTGAAGGGAGGCTCCCTGTACTGGTACACGACCGAATCAGTAAGTCTTTGGTCTGTTATCCAGTCACTAAAGTTATCACAACGCTACAGCATTGGTACACATTTCCAGTTCGCTCTGATGAAGACCAGTTCCTACACACTTAAAATCTGTTTTTAAGGGTTCTTTAGTAAAGAAAATGGTTCTATATAGAACCATGAGCATTCAAAGAACCATTTGAATGACTAAAGGGTTCTTTGCATGGTGAAATGGATCTTTAGACTGATGGGGAATGTGTTGTATATGGTTCTTCAAACTGATGGAGAATGTGTTCTGTGTAGCACCAGAAAGGGTTCTGCTATTGTAACAAGCCTGACATTGTAACAGTAGACATTCTATATAGAACCACCTACAACACATTCTCCATCAATCTGAAGAATCCTTTCACATTGCAAAGAACCTTTCAATCATTTAAAGGCTTCTTTGAACGTTCATAGTTCTATGTAGAACCATTTTCTTCACTAAAGAACCCTTGAAGAACCTCATCCTTTTAAATTGTGTAGATTCACAGGTGAAGATTACTTAGGTTTTAACCCAAACAGAGATTAAAGGTTTAAATCTCACACTGATGATTTAATGTATACAACGAAATCTAAACTTTCACCATAATTCCACAGGGTTCCCACACATTCTGGAAAATTTGTAAACTTAAAGACTAGTTATCCAGTTCTTAGTTAACATCTGGAAAATGGAAAAATGTAAGATTTCATACATACATACATACATCATCTAAACCGCTTATCCTACTGGGTCGCGGTGGGGTGCTGGAGCCTATCCCAGCTGTCATTGGGCGGAAGGCAGGACCCTGGACAGGTCGCCAGTCCATCGCAGGGCAGACAGACAGACATACACAGTCACACACACACTCACACCTAGGGGCAATTTTAGCACGTCCAATTGGCCTGACTGCATGTCTTTGGACTGTGGGAGGAAACCGGAGTACCCGGAGGAAACCCACGCAGACACGGGGAGATCATGCAAACTCCACACAGAAATGACCCTGGTCGCCCGGCCGGGAATCGAACCCAGGCCATTCTTGCTGTGAGGCGACAGCGCTACCCACTGCGCCACCGTGCCGCCCTGTAAGATTTCATATAGATATTTATTTTGAAAGGTGTTCAATTCAAGGCCTACAAGCAAAGAAAAAAATCATTTCACCAATACAAACATTTATTAAATCAAAGTTTGTTTATTTCCTTAGGAGAATCTTGATATACTGGAATTCTGACCAGATTTAGAAATGGGGTTTGAAAGTGTCAAATTGCTCTTATATTATTTTAATACAGTCCTTGAAAGCTGAACTAGTGTACTCTGTATAACAGTGTAGAGAAATGGATTTTTTTCATATAAATTACTTGATAATAGAGTGAATAGAGTAAGTCTGTGTGGTTAATGTCTAATATTTCAGTAAAAATTAGTTGAGGAATGTTTTCAAAGTGTCTGCCTGTCAGTCATTCAGTGGTGGTCATTAAATAGGAATTCTACTGATTTCTCAATTGTTCTGATTAATTTCACTTATTGAGATGTAAACAAAGTCAATCAGAGTGGTTTGATATGAAATGGTTCATTACAGAGAAACTTAGTAACTCTGATTTCTTTACACTGGTGATGATAGGAACCAGGGGTTGTTTAAAGCCATTTTATTTACCAAAGCCATTTTTATATGTAATGTCGATAATGGCAAAATAGTGATAAATCTGAAAAAAATGGCTTTGGGGACTATTTTGCCTTGCAACACCCTGCATGTACCTCTAGTACCACTAATAGGTAGACACATTTTATGTAATACCTATCTGTGAGGGAGCTTTTAGAGGCATGGAACTCCTTCAGATATCTGGTTCCTATCACCACCACTCTAAATGATTCTGAATTGGCAAAATTCTCTGGAACTGCTCTGAAAGGACTTTGTTTATACCTTAATGATTTAATCATACAGAAATGTAGAAAAATCTGTGGTATTCCTGTTTAAGGTTAGTTGTTGCCTATAATGTTAAGGATGTCAGCAGATGCAAGGCATTCAAATATGACCTTCATTGAGAAAGAGTGATCTTGTATGGAAGTCATGGAGAATTTTCTGGTTTTCCTAAAATGAGTGGGAACCCTATTTGATTTGATCTGAATACACAAATGGGATTAGAGGAACTATTTACAGAGTGACAGAATACAGAAGATAAACAGCCAAGATTTTTTTGAGGCCACAATATGGCTGCATGCTTTTTTGAAAATTTAAGCACTGAAACACAAGATGGAGTGTGTTATCCTGAAATAAGATCACAGCTGTGATTTGGTTGTAGATCAGCACAACTATGATGTTTTTCATGATAATGAGCAAAGGAGCATTTAAGTGCTTTTATACAGCAGTTTTGCACTGTAAAAAAATAAAAACATTGAAAATTATTTTAAATATCCATTTTAAATGTTTTATTGGCATTTTCTTCTGCCAAAGAAGCTGTTCTACGACAAACTTATAGAGCAAAGCAACCATTGTTAGCAACTAGTGGTCAATGGAATAATATAGGTACAGTGAAATGCCTTGAAACCAATCGGATTGTGTGGTTGGAACAAACTGTTCTGTATATTTATTATTTTTATTTATTTATTTATTTCATTTTTATTGACTGTAATGATTTATTAAGCTCTAAACTGATGCAGTTTTACACCCGTAATGGTGAGTTTAATGGAGAGTGTATAGCAAGCACAGTGGGTAATTAGCATAACAAAACCGTCCCAGCGTATTCATCAGCAGTGATTAATCAGGGGTTAACTACAGCTTAGATTGGACTTCTTCTTTTCAGTTCAGTCAATCAGGATGCATTTATAAAGTGGTGCCTAGATGCTGCAGAGTCCACTGCGAATCTGTTTCATCACCATCTCCTTTTAGGCTGACAAGGCAGAGGGCTACATCAGTCTGAGGGGCTTCGTTCTGGAGCAGGCACACGAGTGCAGGAGGAAGTTGTAAGTGTTTTTTTTGTTTTTCGTTTGTACCTTTATATTATCTTATATTAGTTACAGTGACATAAGAAATCAAATATCGACTTCCTATGTACCAACATAGACTGTCTATGCTTTGCCTGTGTAGTCTGTCTGTGCTTTACCAATGTATGTATGTGTGTGTGTGTGTGTGTGTGTGTGTGTGTGTGTGTATATATGTATGTATATATATATATATATATATATATATACTATTTGTGCAGTGTAGTCTATATGTGCTTTACTAGTATAGTCTGTATGTGCTTTACCAGTATAGACTGCCTGTGCTCTAGTAGTGTAGTCTATCTGTGCTTTACTAGTATAGACTGTCTAAGCTTTACCAGCATATATAGTCTGTGCTTTACCAGCATATATAGTCTGTGCTTTACCAGCATATACTATCTGTGCTTTACCAGCATAGACTGTCTGTGCTTTACCAGCTTATACTATCTGTGCTTTACCAGTATAGACTGTCTGTGCTTTACCAGCGTAGACTGTCTGTGCTTTGCCAACATATACTATCTGTGCTTTACCAGTATAGACTGTCTGTGTTTTACTAGCATATACTGTCTGTGCTTTACCAATGTAGTCTGTATGTGCTTTGCCAGGATAGACTATCTGTGCTTGATCAGTATATACAATCTGTGCTTTTGTGGTGTACTCTATATGTGCCTTACCAGTGTAGACTGGCTGTTTTACCTCTGTAACCTACCTGTACTTTGGTAGTGTAATCTGTGTGTACTTTACCAATATAGTCTGTATGCACTTTACCAGTGTAATCTATCTGTACTTTACTAGTATAGACATTCTGTACTTTACCAATGTAGTCTATGTATTTTATCAGTATAACCTAAATGAACTTTACCAGTGTAGTTTATATGTGCTTTACCAGTGTAGTCAGTGTGTACTTCATTAGCATGCATTGTTGTAACTGTGACAACAGCTAATATTAGAAACGACCATATTGCTAATGTCTTAATGTGATGCTGAGTTTCAAGTGTTTGAATATTATGCCTAGCTGAGGTCACTGACCCTCATGTAAGTAAAGAGTCTAATAGACATGCGATCTCAGCGTGGTTAAGCATCTGCTTTAATAGCATGCTGTCACCTCCTCCCCCAGTCACAGGAAATGGTCTGGTACACACATATTCTTAACTACAGTGCTCACACACACTTCCTTTGCAGACAGAGCTGCTCTGATCTGATGCATTTATATATTTATACCAAACATGCTAAAGTGGTTAACAATGAATAGAAGGTGGTGGGCACCAATTAGCATGGTGTATTTTGCATGATGATGATTACTGGCCATTTATTTTCATTAATTATTGGAAACTGTTCCTTTTATCCTGTATTTATGGAATTCTAACAATATAACGGTGCTCGGATTCATAAAAACTGATGTTTCTGAGCTGCATTTTAAGTCATGTTAAGTAAAAACTGACCTTGTACACATTTTTGTTCTATGTGTGTTCTTTCCAGTGCAATAAAGGCCAGCCACCCGCAGGTTGTGACGCTCTTCTTTGCAGCTGAGAACACGAAAGACATGCACAAGTGAGTGTGAAAAAAGCAGAAGTGGGAAGTGGTCTTGAATCTCTCTCCCTCTCTCTCTCTCTCTCTCTCTCGCTCTCGCGCTCTCTCTCTCTCTCTCTCTCTCTCTCGCTCTCGCTCTCTCTCTCAGACTCTATCACTCTATCTCTGTTTGTGGTCACCCACACTCATGCTTTTGGTTGACAGGCCATGAAAAGCTCCGTATGACAGTTTTAGCTGCAGCGTCATAGCCCTGAGGCTGACTGATCCAGCGTTAGAGCTTATGTTTATCATAAATGATGAATAAGTTATCTTTTTTTGTACTGTATGGTGAATTGGGGGAAGAACCCCCCTAGGGTAAGATAAATGAGGGGGCCAAGTCTAACCTCGACTCATTTACTGAATGGCTGTATTCGAATACTGAAATCACTATTCTGGTATTCATTGCAGGAACATGGAGAAACTATACAGGCCAACAGTTCAGCGAATTGCTGATTTTTGTTTTAACAGAACCATGAAATGTTAAAGTTTTGTACTTTGCAACTCTGAAGCACGTGTCTGAACATAGGCACGTTGCCAAGAATGTGATATAATAAGGACTTGACTGAGAAGACAGAGATAGCACAGCTTTTAGCACTAAATAGATTGATTTTGGGTCCGCAATCAGTTAAAATGTTGTGGCTGTTTTAAAAAAAAAAAAAATCTTTTTCTATTTTTATTTTTCTGCATCATTTGAGCTCAGCAGCTGCCCTTCATATTGCGTGAAAATTTCATGACGAATGGACCAATAGAAATGCTCCAAATTCACTTGCAATAAAATCTCTTTACATTAACTTACATTAAAAGCTAAGAACATTTTGCCCTCTTCTTTAACGTTTCCATTTTGGAGAAACTTGTTTTTCCTTGGGCAGTGACAATATATTTCTCTTACAAATTAACATACTGGCCCGTCGTCCACAGAAGAGGAAAAACACCTGTAGAAAATGATTAGAAATTCTGTGGCTAAATGTTCCTTTATACCCCCAGTTGCCTGTTGAAGTCACTTGTTTTTAATTTGTTTTGTTAATGTATATACAACAACAACTCAATGTTCCCAAATGACTATGTGAACAATAAATAGTTGATAAGTAATATAGTGTAATTATTATTGTTATTATTGTTATTATTGTTATGTCACATATGTATGTTTAGCAGGCTATATGTTTTCCACAAGGGGGCGCCATTAGAAGTCAACCAGCTTTTGAATTATTTAATACATGTATCTGCAGCAAAATCTGAAATTATTGAAAACATTGATGTAAAATTTGCAGTGTGTATCATCGCTGTCCAAAAAATAACTTTTCCCTTTTTTTCTATGTTTATTTTCATTTGAGCACAGCAACGGCCTTTTTACTTTGTGTGAGAATTTCATGACAAACAGGCCATTTATTTTTTTGGCAGCTACAATATTTGTGCGAGTCCTGAAGCTAATTTGTTGTTTGAATCTGTGGCTTGAGCTGCTAAGGATGAGGGAGTTGCTGGTTACCAGCCTTGTGTAGGTGTGATTTTCATTTTGGCCAAAGGTGATAATGTTTTTCTTGTTGACTCATAAGTGTGTGCATGTGCCCTTTGACAGCTTTTTAAAAATGAGTCTCCTTTTAAGGGGAATTCCAGCAATTTTGCACAGTTCAGTCATAGAGATGTAAATAAAGTCATTCCGAGTGGTTTGGTGTGAAATGGTTTATTGCAGAGAAACTTACAGACACAAATTTCTTTACAGTGGTGGTGATAGGAACCAGGGGTCACAGATTTAGCTGTTTTATTTACTACCCAAAACCTCCAGTGAACCTACACGTGTTTTCTGAGTTTTTATATGTAATGTTGATGATGGTAAGGGTTTTAAAAATAAAAACCTTCTCAAAACTATTGTGAAACAAGGCAGTGTATACATAACTGCTTCATGCAACTTTCTGAGAGGGAGATTTTAGAGACATTAAACTCTTCAGACGCCTGGTTTTTATCACCACCGCTGAAAACAATTCTGACTTGGCTTCTCTAGAATGGAACTTTTCACATCAAACCACTCTGAATGACCTGACCATGTTTACATCTCAACCATTTATTTATGCAGAAATTGAAAAATAGGTGGAGTTCCCCTTTAAATGTTTTCTTTTTTAAATCCAGGTGGTTGAATAGGCTAACTACAGCTTCCACCAAGCAGGAGCTCACAGAAACTGCTAGTGAAGGTAATGATACTCACCATCCTGCAAAAACACACTTACACACACACACAGTCCCTTATATGCAGTTGTGTGCAAAAGTTTGGGCCCCCATGGTCAAATACACAATTTGCTCCATACACAAAGCAATGTTTTCATTATTGTTTGGTCTACAATAACTATGACTCAATGTGTTTTTGTTAGCATAAAATGAGCCTTTCATATCTACATAGGGAGCTGGTCCTCTTACAACAGAGGCATGTTACACCACCATGTTTCTACAGTAGCACAGAACAGATAAACCAAACAGAGGCTCTAGGGCACCTTTTGCATTTTTACAGTGAAGCAGCACGAATTTGCTGGATCTGTTGCACATTGTTGGAAGAAGTAGAACGAAGAAGAATCAGTCGTTGCTGCTGGTGTTAGCTAACCATTTTGCATTGTGAGAAGCTTGAGAACCCAAATTTAACCCAGGATTATGCTTATTATTTAGCACAAAAAGCGTTGGAGGGTGAATCCTTATTATCAAAGAGGCAAAAACATGAAGTAAAACAAAATTGGGCAGACGATGGCAGAAAACCTGACAGCCACTGCAGGTTATACTGCACGTTTGGAAAGGGAGGGGCTAGGGAGGGGATTCATTTGGTTGCAATTTGCAACCTTACCACTAGATGCCACTAAATCTTACACACTGCAGCTTTAACATGCCCTCTACAGAGAATAGACTTAAATATGACATTTTTATGCAAATTATAATTTAAAACACATAAAATGTACAATGTGCCAAACATTTTGCTCAGGCTGTATTGAATTTTCCCCCACATGTTCAATTGAACAAATGAACAGTAATTGTACATCAAAAATGAACAAAAGTATGTTGTCTGTAGTTGACCTGTTAACTTATTTTCAAGCATGTCATTCGTCTGGGGATGTTTGAACCTTTGCGTACTTATTTATAACCTGGTCCGCTGCACTGACTTCATGGGTAAACCAAAGTAGGCCACAGTTAGCTTGTGCTCTTTTATGCGGTCAGAGCATTAACTTCAGATGCCACCACTGTCTGTGTGCGCATGTGTGTTTGCTTAGAGTGCTATAGTGAAGCCAGCGATGATGAAGATGAGGAAGAAGAGACAGCAGAAACCTGTGGCCAGTATACTGAGCAGCTCACGACCAGCTCCATCAATGTGAGTAGCATGTCATACAGTTCTTTATGCAGTATAACTAACTGCTTTTTTTCATGTGGGTCAGTATCTTGTTCCTTCTATTCAAAATTGGTCGATTTTATTACATAAGAAAAGATAAAATGCCTAACTCAGCTATCGTGTGGTTATGCATTCATGGGCAAGTCCAGACAAACACATCCAAATTATTGTCTTTAGTAATCAGCCATATGCTACAGATGCAGCAGGTAGATATTAGGTTGAAATATGTTGTTATTCCTTTAAGTACAACTGTAGGTGCTACACAAAACTGAAAGAAACACATCTCCAGTTGTGGGCATGTCTTCGCACTGCACAATTTGCTTAGTTTGCACTCTTTTGTGGTTCTCTGCTCTGTTTTGATAGCTGATCACAGTTTGAGGGGGCGTTCAGACAACACCTTTTTAAACGCGTGCTGTGCCACGTCACATGGTTTAAAAGAAGTAGGATGTACTTCTTTGGTGGGGGCGTATGGTAACACATGTGAGTGACAGAAACAAGTGCTTCTATCGATCTCCAGTCTTCTATTAGCATCAAGCTAACAGTGTTTTTTCACTCTAGGGCTGAATCTCAAATTGCTCTCTACTCCCTACGTGGAGAATTAAGACTCCACCCAGACAGTACAGAATATAGCTAAAAACAGTCTTTTGGATTTCAGCCATGTGTGTACAATTCCATACTGGACAAATAGTGCAGTATTTGGGCGAAGAAGGCAGAATTACATAACTTACATAGTGCGCTATATAGGAAAGAGGAGGGAGATGTTTGAGATTCATGGTTGCTAAATTGCTTTTATAGTTTCCAGCTAAAAAAAAATTAAAACCAGCCAAAATGCCATCTAAAAACTACATAACAAAAAACAACCTAAGGTCTTTAGAACCATAATGCAAAATAACACAGCATTTAACCGACAGGATCCCAATAATTTGTGTCTGGTGAAGACAATATAATAGAGGTTTGTTTTTCATTTTGTCACGTTTTCTACACGTCACTATGGACAGTAATGTCATTACTGTGTATGTTGCATTTCATGTTCTTTTACTGTAGTGATTGCTTTTCAGTCTGGCATGAATTCCATAATTTAGACTCTCCTTAATTTGGTGAGCAAAAGCGGCTTCTAAAGCGAATGATTTTGCATGAAATAGTTCAGTATTATAATATGTTCATTGTTACATGAGAAAGTAAAAAACTGCAGTATACAAGGATGGGTGACTGAACATCCTTGTCCTTTTCAGCAGTCCATGGTTGCTTGACAACAATAACATACTCTAAAGGGACTACTTTTTGATGGAATAATAGTTTATCTTGATTACTATTAATAATAACTTATAAATTATTTAGTTCAATTGTGTGTATTTTATCATACTTTATGTTGTGTACTGTTTTCTAAAATCAATTAGCTATCTAACTCTGTGCATTACAGTGATTTTGTCAAGGGGGTTTTATTTCACTTTGAGTCATGCATAATAACCCTTATCTGTGATGATCACTGTAAGGCGCAGCCTCAAGTGGCTTATTGCTTTAGTACAATTAATTTTGTTTAAAAACAGCCAGACCGTGCTTTTCCTCTATGTGACTAGGAATGCTCAGTCTTATTTGGTCAGCTCTGGATGGCATATGTCACCTTTGTGGTCAATCAGTGGAAAGGTTTTTGGTTTTTCAACTTAAATGTACGGTTTAAAACCACAAAACAGGTTTCACAAGATAGAGAAGTGCTTCTCAGCGCGCATTGCTTCATAAACAGCAATGACAAGAAGCAGGCTTGAAAAGGCCGTGTCTGAACTCCCTCTTAGACTGTACATGTTTTTCATTATGTATAGGTAGCACTGTGGATGTTGTATGACTGTGCTGTCTGTACAAATGGCTCTGAATTATTGGTGAAATGTTGGTTGATTGATGAATGATGGGACTGACTTGTGCAGGCATGTGCATATTCAAAAGTTTGGGCACCACTGGTCAAATGACATTCTGTTGATTTTCTAAATGAAAATAAGTTTCCACATCCTCTACAGAGAACGCACTTCTGCAGATCTGGATGCACAACTGCTGTTTATATGCTAAATTTAATATGGTGGAAAAAAAAGCCATAAAATGTGGCCTGTGCAAAAGTTTAGTTAAACGCCCAAATAAACAGAAATTGTGCACTGCAGTTAGGACGGAATGCCATATTTTAGTGTGTTGGAAACATCATCAAAATGTCATTTGACTAGGGGTGTTCAGCCTTTTGTATAGGACTTTCTTGCACTTGGAAATAACCTGAGAAATTTATTTTGGTGCAAAGTATACTAGCAATTAAAAGTTTGTAATTACATGTAATTATCAGAAAGCTGTGAAATATCATTCTAAAATAATTAGAAGTTAAATCGGACGTTAACATAAAATGAATTTCTGAAGTTTATTAAGTATTTATTATTCCAAAAACAAAACAAAAACAAAAAAATCTACAAGCAGAGATTCTACAAATTCAGTTGTAGATTCCACCTCTATTTAAATCAGTTGTCATAAAATAAATGTTGTTTTTTTTTTTAATTAAATGATATATACTTATATTCTAATATTCCAAAATACATGTAGTTGAATTGCTGCCTCCAGGCTGATGTGTTTTTTACACCCTGTTGTGCGTGTATGTTCTGCAGGGTTGTCTCCCTCCTCCGCGCTCCTGCTCGTCTCCATGTCCGGCGATGCTTCCCCTGGTGTCTCCTGTGTGTAACAGTACAGAGTGCGTGAGCTCAGACACAGAGTCGTGGCTGGAGCTCAGTTCTGACTCCCAGACCCTTCAGGTGTCCATCAACGAAGGAAACGCACTGGGCCACCTGCAGGATTACCACGGCAATGAACGTGAGTGACCATCCAGAATGCTTTGATCTGCCTCAGACCTATTTCACACATACTGCTTCTGCATGGCATGAGCGACTCAGCAATGTTTGGCCCGTAGAGCAGTGCAGTAGGAACGTTATGCAGACATCCTCCTACCAAATGGCTGAATAGTCAAAGGGTTTAATGATATGCATGTTAATATTTATTTTTTAATAAGGAGTTGTGAATATTATTTATTAATTTACAGGTTTTTTTTTCATATGTGCTTCATCCTGCTCCCGCCTGCAGTGGGCTGGATATTGTGGCGGGTCCAGCTGGAATCCACAGGAGTGCAGACCTTTAATCTGAGTAACCAGATTCTGTTACAGGCACAGGTCTAAGGAAAATGTTGGTAGATGTCTGTTTAATGTGGGACCATAAAGCTGCACACCTGATGTTTAAAGGGCATTCTGGCCCATCACGAGTTTAATATTTTGTTTGTTGTGTCATGCAGTGTTCTGTAGCGTGGCATTAGATCCCTCACCCTCATCAGTTTGACAGAATTCACGATTTTATGTCATTTTGATGTTTGCGTTCATCAGTGTTCTCGTACTACAATACTTAGCATGCCGTATGCCGTATACAACTGGTTGACTGATGTCAACCAGTCCTGACTGCTAGCCTAGCCGCTGAGTTATAGGCTAAAAAAATGCAACAAAGCCTTAGTGTAACTCTTACCTTCGTCAGCGAACAAAGTCATAAAGAAACAGTGATTTTATGTTTTCAGCACTAAATGGACACTAAATTTACTCTTGCAAGCAGAGAAAAGTAGTCAAACTGACGTATACCTGGATTTTAGCTTTTAGCTTTTTGTTGTCGTCCTTATCTGACGAGTTATTTCTGTTGTTTGAGTAATCCATTCTCTCCATTATGATGATGATGTTCTACAGTTATACGGTTTCAATCAGATGTTAGGCCTTCTAGCATGAACATTAGCTCTTTGGCTGATTTCTGTTTTCGCCAGCTAACAACAAAAATCTCAGAATAGCCCCAAAAATCCACCCACAAAGCAGCCATCGTTTTTCAAATATTCATCCCACCTTCAGAATACATCATCAGCAGGAGGTTTTGCTAGTCTTTAAACCAGAAAATCTCACTAATAGATACCATTGCAGCACCACTGTAGGATACAAGTCAGCGTGTTTACAATAGAGGACATAACAGTGATTACATTTTTCATTTTGGATGGAGTAACAAGCAAATAAAGTACATAGAAATGCCAGTGGTACACAGACAGGGAGTTAATAAGAGCATATCAGCATCCTCAGTAAAGGTTCTTGAAGTGGTAGTCTGAGGGAAATGAGGTGACAGCCACATTTATCTGATTTGATTGATAAGCAAAATAGCATGGGAAAAAGCTGTCATGGTGATGCACTGCAGTGGTTTCTTTGAGTCAGAAGAGGGAGAGGGGAAGCACACTGTAAAGACAGAGCATGAGAATTCTGTCAATGATGACTCTGATGTTCTTTTTTGTATAATTATGCCTTTTTGCTCTGTTCCAATCAGTAAACACATACAAAATCCTTATACAAAACTATACTCACATCCCGACTTACCTGTTAAGGTTCTAAGTCAAAGGCTGCATCTAGAAACTTTTGCTACTGCTCATGTCCTCCCCTCCCTTCTTACTGCTCACCTCCTACCCCAGAAGAATGTGGAAGAATCGAGGAGAGGAAAGGAGCTGGAGGAATGGAGAGAACTAGCAGAAACTGTGGAAATGGGACAGTTGATTCCTTTCAGCATCATTAAATTTGATGTTGATTACTGATGAACCAATGTGAAATCACAATGTTTGCTTGATAAATGGTGGTAAATCTGGCAAAAAAGGTTTTTACTGGGGACTTTTTTGCCTAAGAATGCCCTGCATGTTCCTCTCCACCATGAAAATGTTTTTACAAATATGTTTTAGTCCAAACTTTACTTCAAACCATTGTAAAACAGTGTCTCAGTTATTAGGCAGCGTATTCATAGCCATATGGTGTATTAGTTGCCCTGCGATGGACTGGCGGCCTGTCCAGGGTGTATCCTGCCTTCTGCCCAATGACAGCTGGGATAGGCTCCAGCACCCCACCGCGAAGGATAAGCGGTGTAGATGATGTGTGTATGTATGTGAGTTTTAAATGCTTTAATCCAACTCTACTGTTGTTCCATCAGGGCCTCCATCTGATGAGCTAGAGATGTTGTATCTTGACCTCAAACATGCCAACCTGACGCCATGCGGGACGCTGCAGCCTTTGTCCAAGCGGGATTACAGGTCCTCCTTTGTCAGACGCTGTAAAAACGACACGGTCAACGAGAAATTACACCTGGTCCGAACACTCAACAGCACTTTAAAGGTAGGACTGGAGAATTGGTTTTAAAATGGTTTATCATGATATTTTTATTTGGAGGATGTAAACATTGTTTCAAGTTTCAAAAGCACTGTTTCCACTCTTTGCAGTTTATATGTGGAAACTAAGCTGCAGCAGAAGAATCATGATTCATGTGATATCACAATTGTGAACACATTTACATATAACTATCCACATCTTTACATATAACTACAGCAGCTTAGCTGTGACAGCTCACTTTGAAATGATGCTGAGTGCTGTTACTGCAGCTGGTCTGTAGCAGAGTTATCCGAGTGGAAGATATGAGAAAATGATTAAACGATGTGCTGTTCATGTCTGTCAGGAAGCAAATTCAGTCTTGCTAAGGATCCAAACATCTGAAAGGAGCAGCTAAAGGTTACTGTAACCCACCTTTCTCTAAAGATTTCACTGTGAACTTAACAGTTTGTTCTGTTCACTTCAGCTAGGACTGCGTTATTAATGAGACCCTGCGAGTCTGCAGTGACGGCAGAGGAGGGTAAAGTTTAGCAACCTCACTGCTGGGCTTTAGTTAAATTTAGGGAATCATATGCCTTCAAACAGGGGGTGTGTGACAGTTATTTATTTTCGCCTACCCCTGATATGAGGCTGAAGTCAGCTACTTGCCAGCTTCTTGTTTGAATTTTCCCGTACCACCTGAAATGGAGCAGCAGTTACATTTTGGCACTTTACTACTGCTGGACTATTCAAGGTGGATTGGGAAATAAGCTAGCTAGCTACCAAGACATTAGCATATTATTAGCAATTTTTTAATGTTTGTGATGAAGAAAAGGGCCATAATTAAGCTAAGATAATGGTTATCGTATTTTTTTAACAGAGAAAATACCCACAAATTTGTGGGTTTCTTTGGTCATTTGCGCAGCCGTCTTGCTTGTTTTTCTTTTTTTGTCACAACACTCTATTTGGAGTTTGTCTCTGAAAAACCTCAGTTTGGAGGGCCGTGTAGCCCTAACACTTCGCCCTAACACTTTGCCCATCCATCTCAACAAAAATTGGGACACCTTACCCTAGACCTGAATGCGTAAAACGGAGGGCTAAGGGCTAAGAGGTAGGGGCGAGGGGTGAAATGGGGTTGGGGCTCAAAGTTTAGAGAACTTGTCTGAGGCAGACAGCAGATGGCAGTATTGAGATTCAGTGGATCCTGAAAAAAGGTTCACCAGAGTTTGTGTTCAGTTCATAGTCAAAAAATATTCAAAACATATATATTCATATGCAAAAGCTTGTCCGCCCCTTGTCAGATTACATTTTATGTGGCCTGTGCTGAAGTTTTTTTGTGTTTTTGGTTTTTCCAATATGTTAAACTCAGCAAATAAAAAGAACATGTGCACTAAAACTTGTTGAAAAATGCCATATTTAAGTTTGTTTCCTGTAGATTACATGTTGACCTGTTTTCATTTAGAAAACGGAAAACGTCGTTTGACTAGGGGTGTTCAAACTTGTGCATACGACTGTAATTGCATACGCTCACAAAGTGTTAGAAAGCAAGAAAGTAGGTTATGTATAAGTCTAAACTGTCTGCATGTTGTGTTCCAGGCCAAAGAAGCTGACCTGCTGGCCATAGAGCAGGTTCTGGCTGATTCAGCGTTGGACGGCAATAAGTACCGACAGTGGAGGAGTGCTAATGTCCTTCTGATGGAGGAGATCAGCAAAAAGGTTCAAGCAGCGCAGGAAACCCCCCAGCCCAGAGAGCCTGTTCAGAGTCAACCACAGTGCTCCACTTCAGCTGTATTCACAGAGACCAGCGTGTGAGTGCACACACGTTCTGGATGGTGACCTGGTTTAAGGTGGAGGATGGTAGCCATATTTTAGACAGCGGCCTTTGCCACATGCACCACTTTACATTTGAAGTCTGTTATGTTTCACCTCCTGCTTACAGATTAGTTGTGTTCTTTTGAAAGGGCATTTGAGCAGCATATGAGTGGATCTGTTCATGATTATCACTCAGTTATTTACTGAGTTATCTCATCTTGGACTTGTCAAGTGACCTGCTTGGTTTGAGGCAGACAGCAGATGGCAGTATTGAGATTCTGTGGATGCTTCATTGGAAATAGTTCACACTCAAAATGTAATAAAGTTGTTTTTTAAAGGGTAACTCCACTGATTTTACAAAATTTCTGCCTAATTCAGAGTGGTTTGATGTAAAATAGTTTTATTGTAGAAAAACTTGCTGATTTCTTTACAGTGGTGGTGATAGGAACAAGGGCTCACAATGTTTACACCACACATAGCCATTTTATTTACTGTCCAAAACGACCAGCGAACCTACACTTGTCTTCTGAGTTTTTATATGCAATATTGATGGTAAAATAGTGGTAAATCAAAAAAAAACAAAAACATTTCTTTGCGGACTATTTTGCCTCAGACCACCCTGTATGTACCTGACATCAAAGGATCTTAATTAGTATATTTGTACCAATTCATGTTATAACTTTCTGTGATGGAGCTTTTAGATGTCTGGTTGTTATCACCACCGCTGTGAATAGTTTTGACTCTAAGTTTCTCTAGAACAGAGCATTTCACACCAAACCACTCTGACTTTGTTTACATCTTAACCACTTAATGAGGCTGAAATTTTTAAAAAATTGGTGCAATTGCCCTTTTAAATGTTGTATATATAAAACATTTTAACATTCATATTTAAATTGCCTTACAGAAGCATGAGAGCAGACGTATTCAGTGTATTTAATCATGAAAGCCTTAATTTAAGTCATCTTAGATTTGTCAAGTGTCTTAAGGGGAAACACTTGCATCTATCACTAAATGTTAGTTTCAGAAAAACACTTCACTCCCTCCATTTAGTCATGACACCTCGTCACTTTGGTTCACCTATTATCTTACTTTCTGTCATGTTAAGAAGTTGTTTTAAGTTGTGGACATTGCATGCTGTGTGTTTTAAAATCAAACTCCTGGTTGTCCGTTCAAAAGAACAGATTAAGACTTTGCACAGTAAACTGTCCATCTGACAGTTCAGAACAATTTCTAGAACAGTTTGAAATGTAAACGGATGGATTTCTCTTTTAAGAAATAACTGGCAGTAAGATTTTATTTTTCTGTTTGTGTTTTAGATAAACATGTATTTACAACTGTAAATAAATACCTGAAGTATTTTATTTGTTGCATGATGTCTGTGAATGATTTGGCTGGTTTTGTAAAAAACTAATTATACCTGTTATGCTGTAAAGTAAATACTGTGCTGGTGAAAATTTTAAAAATCCAAATCTAACTTAGCAGTAATTTGTTTTCAAAGGTTTGTACATAATCATTGAGTCATTCAGAGTGGAAATGCATACCCACATTATGGAAAAACATACCAACTCAATTTGCAAATATATTGTATTTACTATTTAAAACCACCAGTGAACCTGCATGTGTCTGAATTTTAATATGTAATGATGATGATGGCATAAGAGTGGCAAATCTTAAAAGTTATAGTTTATGTCAAAGCCTCCTCAGACCTATCGTAAAACAATATTTCAGACATCAGTGTATTTGTTCATGTAATAACTTTTTGTGAGGGAGCTTTTAAAGGCATATTAAACTCTCAGACATCTGGTTCCCATCACCACCACTGTGAACAATTCTGACTCAGTACGTCTCTCTAGAACAGAGCATTTTCGCACCAAACCACTCTGAATAATTTAGTGTATTAAAGTTAAGATAGTCTATTTATGCACATTTCATATAGAAAGGCAATTTAAACTGCTTCACATCACTGACTCTCAAACTGATCCTTAGGCCCCCCAGCTAGGCAGTACACATTTTTTGCTTTAACCCAGCTTGCAACATCTTATATAATGAATATGAAGAACGAAGATTGCTTTATATAATAAAAATAAAAAGGAACATTAGACTCTAAGTACGTCTTTGCTAATTGACTATATATTTGTGAACGCGGGAAATGTGAACATTTTATGTATTGCTGAACTATCACTTTAAGTAAGGTCACTCAGATATGGCCTTGTACAGTTCAGTAGTGAATGCTGGCTCTGACTGGAATCCCGGGCAGCCTGTGTAAAGTGATTTAAAGTATCTACAGTAATGTGATTACCATTATGACTTCCATAATAGATACAAGCTTAAGCAACAGCTCTTATTCTCATCATTTGTCAAGCATTTACATAAGCTTTTCTCCAGAAATCAGCACTCCAGAAAGTCTCTGAGCAGAAAAGTAGACACAGACTCTTTTTCAGGCTGTATCACAAAGCCGACATGCACATTAGTCCTCTGGCAGCCATCTGCGGGTGTGAACTGTGATGAAAGGAAAAAGATTGCATATGAATACCCCAAAAAGATTCATCAATGGCGAGCTGAGGAACGTGGCTCCAGCATGCAGATCATACTCAGCCATCTGTTGCTGCCTTTTGTGTCACAGCAAAAAGAGCGCTAAGCCTGGACCCTGGTGCTGACACTGATTTGAATGAGAATGAGATGTCTGTGCACTAGATGGCACTGTGCAACGTGCTGAGGATTGATCTCATCCTAGACTGGCTATGTTAAAGTTGGATTTCCAGCCATTTAAAAATGTTCAGTATAATTAAATGGTTAAGATGTAAACAATCTTTCAGAGTGGTGTGATATGAAATGGTTGTTCACAGTAGTGGTGATAGGAATATGCTGCCTGATGCCTGAGACGGTGATTTACAATAGTTTTGAGATGCAATTTTGAGATTTGAGAATGAAAATTTATTTTTTGAGATTTAACACTATGTTACCATCAACATTACATATAATGTAATGTCAGAAACTGACCACTGAGGAAGGGCTAGATGATGGTTAACACACACTGTGTGTCAATGGATGAGCTGCAGTTTCTAACTGTACATGTATGAGAGAGATCTGATGAAGTGGACAGTAAGAATGTTCTTCCATTGCACAAAGTACCAGAACACCAGAAAACTGAAACTGCTTTTTCCATTGACCATCAGCCAGTACCGAACGTTCCAGTTTTGTGGTTTTGGTACCTGCCCCATACCAGTCAACTTAATCCTCATTGAAATGTGGATGTGGGTGGTGAAAAGCTTGTAAAATTTGATAAAAACTTTGAGCCAAGTCAAATCTAGTGTGAAATCAGTATTCTGGTGTTTAATGTGAGCTGGCTGTATTGGTCAACCTTGCTAGGAAGAACAGCATAAACTAGTAAAATCAACATACACTGTATGGACAAAAGTATTGGGACACCCACTGGAGCTTTTATGACATCCCATTCTAAATCCACAGACATTAATATGAAGTTGGTCCTCTCTTTGCAGGTGTAACAGCTTCCACTCTTCTGAGAAGCTTTCTACAAGACTTTGGGGTGTGTCTGTGGGCATGTCTGCTCATTCATCCAGAAGAGCATTTGTGAGGTCAGACACTGATGTTGGACGAGAGGACCTGGCTCGCAATCTCCGTTTTAGTTCATCGCAAAGGCGTTCACTGGTGTTGAGGTCAGGGCAGACTGTGCAGGCCAGTCAGGTTCTTATACACCAAACTTACCCCCTGAAAAACAACCCCATAGCATTATCCCTCCTCCATCAAACCTGCAGTCTTGTAGGTGGCGTTCTCCTTGCATTCACCAAACTCAAACTCGTCCATCAGACTGCCAGATAGAGAAGCGTGATTCATCAAGCCACAGAATATGCTTACACTGCTAGAGGTCAGTGGTCATTCTGGTCTGTGCTGTTTATTTATTCTTTTTTTTTTCAGCAGGGATGGCACGTGAGGCTAATATAAACATTTTTGTGAGCATGCGTGCACACAACAGTGCAGCCCATAAGTCAAGGAAGACAGCTACTTAGCCAAATTAGACTCTTTAGAGTGGTTTCTAAGATGGTTCCAGCTGTCTCTCTAGCAGGTGGACAGTGAACCAGAACAAGAACTGTAAATTTCTGTTGGGTTCTTGTTCATGATTGTGCTGAGAAAAACAAAAAAAAAACAGCAATTCTACTGTGTCTGATGCACTCATACCAGCGCCACACAACACCATGTCACTACCACGCCACTGTCACTGCATGAAAATGTACAAACTAATATTTGACAAGCTGTTTCAAAACCCCTATTCTCCATGTCTTCCAGACTTTCTTTCTCTGCCCACCATGCTTCGTAGAACTGCTTCCTAAAAAGAAAGTGCTTTCTTCCACACCATAGCAAAATGTTCATGTTCACTGCATGAGGTTCCCATGAGGTTTCCTATGAGTGAGATCCACTGTACTACATTGCTGATCTGAGTTTATGAGGCCCTCCTTCCTCATATAACTCTCTACCTGCGGCGTTAGATGAACGTCTTTCTCCCTAGTTTTGAACATCTGTGGTTATAGAGCCAGAATTCAGTGTAGAATTGTGTCCTCGGGGCCCAAAATAACTGTTTTACTGAGTGCCTCTATTTACACAGGACAAACTAGCCGGAGGCTGTTTCACACACAGTGGAGGTCAAACAGAAGACAAGAGAGCAGCACATTCTAAACAGAAGAAAGTGCTTGTTTGTGGCTCTTGTTGAGGAATAAACATCTTCATGATAATAGAACATTTTTTAGGTGTGAAAACATTTGACTTTGAGATCCAAAAGACTGCCTTTTGATTACTGAGGTGTAGCTTAGGATTAGTGTACAAGTGAGGGCGTACAATTATTCATTTACAGTATTATGCATATATGTGTATGTGTATATATATATATATATATATATATATATATATAAGGGTGCACTTTGTAGCTCTACAATTACAGACTGCAGTCCAGTTTCCTTTTCCTGTAAAGCTTCCAAACTATTTTGAAGAGTTTTCTTTCATATTTTCACATTTATAAAATGAAATAAATGTCATAAATGACTGCATATACAGTTCTATACAAAAGTTTAGGTGCTCCTGCTCAAATGACATGTTTGACATGTTGTTTCTCTAAGTAAAACTAAATGTATACATCCTCTACAGAGAATATACTTCTGCACATTTTAAAGCACAATTACTGCTTATCTGCTGAATTTAACATAGTGGCAGGGCAAATAAATCATGATATGTGGCCTGTGCACAAACTATGGCACATTTTATGTATTTTTTAAAACATGTTGGAAATAATAAGCTGAAATTGTGCCCTAAAAAAGCTGCAGAAAACTGTTTATGTAACTGGTTAAACTGCAAGGCTTGCAAACATAATAAACTACATAACTTACAGATGAGTTTCATAGTAGTTACTGAAGAATTTTACTACTTAGTAAGTATCCAATTCTCAGGGAACACAATGTAAAATATTAAAATTATTTGTATGATTAAAATTGAGTGTCATATGCAAAAGTTTTGGAGTCCCTGGTTGAATGACAAGTTTTGTGAAAATAAGTGAAAAACATCTTTTACAGAGAACACACTTAAATGTAGCCTTTTCTGCACATTTTAGGTCAAAATCTCTGTTTATTTAATACATTAAATTACATTTTTCTCCAAAATGCTAAATTCAGCAAATGAACATGAATGCAACTGACAGGGTTTTCAAACTTTTACATATGACAATACACAGACAGACAGACAGATGGAGAGACATATAGAAAACGTCACTTCTCTCCAA